AATCTGAGAATAATTTAGTGTATGTAGTTTGGGGAATGTTGAATGATCATTGGGACACAAAATCTCGACAAAAAAAAAAATTGAAATTTTATCGTTTTAGTAAGAAGGTACCTACCTTATGATTTAGATTTTGGAAAACTTTGAAAGGTCATAATTTTTTTTCTTTTATAGATAGAAAGCTGAAACTTTCACTGAATTTTATCCCTTCCAAAGGACTACAATCCCTGAAAATTTCAGCTCATTTGCACCTATAGTTCCTGAGATAAAATCCTGTTAAGCAATTTGGGGTGATTTATCAATTTTTCAATTTTTCTGAGTGCCTTTTTTCATAGATTTCGGCTTCAAATCTGAGAATAATTTAGTGTATGTAGTTTGGGGAATGTTGGATGATCATTGGGACACAAAATCTCGACAAAAAAAAATTTGAAATTTTATCGTTTTAGATTTTGGAAAACTTTGAAAGGTCATAACTTTTTTTCTTTTATAGATAGAAAGCTGAAACTTTCACTGAATTTTATCCCTTCCAAAGGACTACAATCCCTGAAAATTTCAGCTCATTTGCACCTATAGTTCCTGAGATAAAATCCTGTTAAGCAATTTGGGGTGATTTATCAATTTTTCAATTTTTCTGAGTGCCTTTTTTCATAGATTTCGGCTTCAAATCTGAGAATAATTTAGTGTATGTAGTTTGGGGAATGTTGAATGATCATTGGGACACAAAATCTCGACAAAAAAAAAAATTGAAATTTTATCGTTTTAGTAAGAAGGTACCTACCTTATGATTTAGATTTTGGAAAACTTTGAAAGGTCATAATTTTTTTTCTTTTATAGATAGAAAGCTGAAACTTTCACTGAATTTTATCCCTTCCAAAGGACTACAATCCCTGAAAATTTTAGCTCATTTGCACCTATAGTTCCTGAGATAAAATCCTGTTAAGCAATTTGGGGTGATTTATCAATTTTTCAATTTTTCTGAGTGCCTTTTTTCATAGATTTCGGCTTCAAATCTGAGAATAATTTAGTGTATGTAGTTTGGGGAATGTTGAATGATCATTGGGACACAAAATCTCGATAAAAAAAAATTTGAAATTTTATCGTTTTAGTAAGAAGGTACCTACCTTATGATTTAGATTTTGGAAAACTTTGAAAGGTCATAACTTTTTTTCTTTTAGAGATAGAAAGCTGAAACTTTCACTGAATTTTATCCCTTCCAAAGGACTACAATCCCTGAAAATTTCAGCTCATTTGCACCTATAGTTCCTGAGATAAAATCCTGTTAAGCAATTTGGGGTGATTTATCAATTTTTCAATTTTTCTGAGTGCCTTTTTTCATAGATTTCGGCTTCAAATCTGAGAATAATTTAGTGTATGTAGTTTGGGGAATGTTGAATGATCATTGGGACACAAAATCTCGATAAAAAAAAATTTGAAATTTTATCGTTTTAGTAAGAAGGTACCTACCTTATGATTTAGATTTTGGAAAACTTTGAAAGGTCATAACTTTTTTTCTTTTATAGATAGAAAGCTGAAACTTTCACTGAATTTTATCCCTTCCAAAGGACTACAATCCCTGAAAATTTCAGCTCATTTGCACCTATAGTTCCTGAGATAAAATCCTGTTAAGCAATTTGGGGTGATTTATCAATTTTTCAATTTTTCTGAGTGCCTTTTTTCATAGATTTCGGCTTCAAATCTGAGAATAATTTAGTGTATGTAGTTTGGGGAATGTTGAATGATCATTGGGACACAAAATCTCGACAAAAGAAAAAATTGAAATTTTATCGTTTTAGTAAGAAGGTACCTACCTTATGATTTAGATTTTGGAAAACTTTGAAAGGTCATAATTTTTTTTCTTTTATAGATAGAAAGCTGAAACTTTCACTGAATTTTATCCCTTCCAAAGGACTACAATCCCTGAAAATTTCAGCTCATTTGCACCTATAGTTCCTGAGATAAAATCCTGTTAAGCAATTTGGGGTGATTTATCAATTTTTCAATTTTTCTGAGTGCCTTTTTTCATAGATTTCGGCTTCAAATCTGAGAATAATTTAGTGTATGTAGTTTGGGGAATGTTGAATGATCATTGGGACACAAAATCTCGATAAAAAAAAATTTGAAATTTTATCGTTTTAGTAAGAAGGTACCTACCTTATGATTTAGATTTTGGAAAACTTTGAAAGGTCATAACTTTTTTTCTTTTATAGATAGAAAGCTGAAACTTTCACTGAATTTTATCCCTTCCAAAGGACTACAATCCCTGAAAATTTCAGCTCATTTGCACCTATAGTTCCTGAGATAAAATCCTGTTAAGCAATTTGGGGTGATTTATCAATTTTTCAATTTTTCTGAGTGCCTTTTTTCATAGATTTCGGCTTCAAATCTGAGAATAATTTAGTGTATGTAGTTTGGGGAATGTTGGATGATCATTGGGACACAAAATCTCGACAAAAAAAAATTTGAAATTTTATCGTTTTAGATTTTGGAAAACTTTGAAAGGTCATAACTTTTTTTCTTTTATAGATAGAAAGCTGAAACTTTCACTGAATTTTATCCCTTCCAAAGGACTACAATCCCTGAAAATTTCAGCTCATTTGCACTATAGTTCCTGAGATAAAATCCTGTTAAGCAATTTGGGGTGATTTATCAATTTTTCAATTTTTCTGAGTGCCTTTTTTCATAGATTTCGGCTTCAAATCTGAGAATAATTTAGTGTATGTAGTTTGGGGAATGTTGAATGATCATTGGGACACAAAATCTCGATAAAAAAAAATTTGAAATTTTATCGTTTTAGTAAGAAGGTACCTACCTTATGATTTAGATTTTGGAAAACTTTGAAAGGTCATAACTTTTTTTCTTTTATAGATGGAAAGCTGAAACTTTCACTGAATTTTATCCCAAGCAAGGGACTACAATCCCTGAAAATTTCAGCTCATTTGCACCTATAGTTCCTGAGATAAAATGGTGTTAAGCAATTTGGGGTGATTTATCAATTTTTCAATTTTTCTGAGTGCCTTTTTTCATAGATTTCGGCTTCAAATCTGAGAATAATTTAGTGTATGTAGTTTGGGGAATGTTGAATGATCATTGGGACACAAAATCTCGATAAAAAAAAATTTGAAATTTTATCGTTTTAGTAAGAAGGTACCTACCTTATGATTTAGATTTTGGAAAACTTTGAAAGGTCATAACTTTTTTTCTTTTATAGATAGAAAGCTGAAACTTTCACTGAATTTTATCCCTTCCAAAGGACTACAATCCCTGAAAATTTCAGCTCATTTGCACCTATAGTTCCTGAGATAAAATCCTGTTAAGCAATTTGGGGTGATTTATCAATTTTTCAATTTTTCTGAGTGCCTTTTTTCATAGATTTCGGCTTCAAATCTGAGAATAATTTAGTGTATGTAGTTTGGGGAATGTTGGATGATCATTGGGACACAAAATCTCGACAAAAAAAAATTTGAAATTTTATCGTTTTAGATTTTGGAAAACTTTGAAAGGTCATAACTTTTTTTCTTTTATAGATAGAAAGCTGAAACTTTCACTGAATTTTATCCCTTCCAAAGGACTACAATCCCTGAAAATTTCAGCTCATTTGCACCTATAGTTCCTGAGATAAAATCCTGTTAAGCAATTTGGGGTGATTTATCAATTTTTCAATTTTTCTGAGTGCCTTTTTTCATAGATTTCGGCTTCAAATCTGAGAATAATTTAGTGTATGTAGTTTGGGGAATGTTGAATGATCATTGGGACACAAAATCTCGATAAAAAAAAATTTGAAATTTTATCGTTTTAGTAAGAAGGTACCTACCTTATGATTTAGATTTTGGAAAACTTTGAAAGGTCATAACTTTTTTTCTTTTATAGATGGAAAGCTGAAACTTTCACTGAATTTTATCCCAAGCAAGGGACTACAATCCCTGAAAATTTCAGCTCATTTGCACCTATAGTTCCTGAGATAAAATGGTGTTAAGCAATTTGGGGTGATTTATCAATTTTTCTGAGTGCCTTTTTTCATAGATTTTGGCTTCAAATATGAGAATAATTTAGTGTATGGAGTTTGGGGGTAATCTAACCCAAAGGACCATTAAGGTCCAGTTGTACAGTCCAGGTTCAAACAGAGGTTTAGTTGAACTCTACTGGTATTTGAACTTTACCATTTGAATTGCATTGCTGTCAAGAAATATATATTTTGGCATATTTCTGACAGCAATGCATTTCAAATGGGATGGTTCAAGTACCAGTAGAGTTCAACTGAGCCTCTGTTTGAACCTGGTTTGTACAACTGGGCCTAAGACATAAAATCTCAACAGAAAAAAAACTGAAGTTTCATTGTTTTAGTAGGTAGGTACTGGTGTAACTTTATGTTTAGATTTTGGAAAATTTTGAAAAATCATGATTTTTTTTCTATTTTAGATACAAAGCTGAAATTTTCAGCGATTTTTATCCCAGTAGAAAACTACACTCCCTGGAAATTTGAGCTTATTTGGACTTAAAATTCCAGAAATAAAATCTTATTAAGTAATTTGGGGTGATTTATTAATTTTTCTTTTTCTGGAAACCAGTGTTTATGTATTTTTGGAGAACATTAAATTTCTCCTTTCCTGGATTCCTGTGAGCCCCCACCCACTCATACAAAACTCGTTCCTACCGTAATGCCAATCTTTATTAAACAAAATAAATATATCCTAAGGAAAATTAGTCAACCAATAGGTATTAATCAAACAATTCTCAGATACAAAAGTAAAAATTAGAAAGAACATTTCTCAACTACTACACCATTGCCACTTGTATATAAGTAAAAACATTATAATTTGTCATCTGGGATGGTAGGTATTTTATTTTTGGAGGAGAGATTTGTTATTTGATTTTTAGAAAATTTTTTAAGCTTAGAAATACAAGACAAGACTTATAATCGTTATCAATAATCATTTGTACGTTTGTGACTACATCCAAAACCATTTGTTCCTATATAAGTAAGACAAAGGCAAAAAAATCCTTACCAGTAAAAATATCCATATCCTCCACCAACCGTCCAGTTCTTACCGAACCCAAAAAAGTAGTATACTTTTCCTGCAACCCAAGATCTTGTGACAAAGGTATAATAGCTTCAACAATACTATCTTGCATTGTTCGCTTTGGTAATTCTTCTTGGGTTTTCGGCAAGTATTTTTGCAGATCCTCGCGTTTGTGCAAGAACGGCTTATAAGGATGATCTACACCCATTTCATAGGCTAGAGATTTTTTTACTACAAAATATATTATAATAATTGATTTTACTTATCATAGATACCTATACTTACATTGATTTAAAGTTATAATTTGTTTTCCATCTTGAGCTGTACCTGATGTGCTACTTTCGTTTCTTTTACTTAACTGGGAAAATTGGTATCCAGATAGTGGAAGGCCATCATGAAGTAAACTCATTTTTCTTTTCAATATAAATAATTTACTATTAGATTTATTGCACTGGCTAAAAGCAAAATTACTAATAAATCAACATGCAACAAAGGTCAATTATTGTTGTTATCTTTTTTAACAACAAATTGATTAATTAATAAGTAGTGCAGTGAGGGATTCAATATAAACTTACTGTATTTTTGTAATAATGTTAACGAAGAAATGCCTGCACGGTGTCATAATTTAAAATTAAAATTTAAACAATTATTTTTCACTTATCGACTGTAGGTATAAACTTTGTTTAAATAATTGAGGAAAAATCTTGTTTGAAATTTGAATTTTCCATATTTGGAAGGAAATGTCAATTGTCTAATTTTTTTTTTAAATAATGGGGCCAATGGGGGAGTATCAAAGGTTACTTTTTAAAAAATGACTAATCTAATAACAATAAAAAAGCAATTATTTATACTATGAAAATAAAGCAAAGTCTAAAGATTAAAAAGTAATATAAATAAAGGTATTCGTGCCAAGGTTCCTAAATTGATGACGCATCTGGGGTGTCTTATGGAAATTTGCATTTATATTGAGGCATTGACCCAGATGACGTCATAAGAGTTATCAGGCAACCTCCCTCTTTTAAACAACTTTTTGTTCATTATTTTGAAATCGATAATAAAAATTAGTTAATACGGCCCTGTCTGGATGGCAGAATTCTATCAGAGTAACAAGGATATTACCTTTTTCAAGTTTTTATATTTACTCTTTTTGTTCGGAACCGTTCCTTATTTCATTTCGGGAGAGAAAAGGAAAACTCGGAACTTCAGCTTTTAACCCGAGTCGATAGAACAACTCCAGAACCGATTATGAATGGGTTCGAATCAGTTCGAAGAACGGAGTAAACTCTATTCTTGGATCACAATATTAAACGCTCACGATTCCGGAACAAGAAATAAAAAATTGGAACTCCAGTTTGTAATAATTCTAAAACCGATAGAATAAATTCAGAATTGATTCGGAACTGATTTTAAGCGAACCACAATCAATAAACTATAAAAAAAAATTCGGAAATTCGTGATCAGTGAATGACATAATTTGAAAAACGAACAATTCCGAATGGAAGGACAAAGTTAGCTATTCATGGATCACATTCCAAATTTGGAATTTAATATAGGGGTTTTCTGCCTGGGACTGGGAGCAGTAACGTCGAAAATGCTATTAATTTCAACATGTTAAGCCTAGTACTCATAACTGCGAAATTCGCTTTTTTTTTACATTGCCTCAACAATTTGACGTTTGATACACGCATAAAACGTCAAATTGTCAAAGCAATGTCAAAAAAGTGCGAATTTCGCAGTTATGACTACTAGGCTTAAGATAGAGTTTTGTGTTCATTGGTTCCCAAGCTCTGAATTATTTCCGAACCTGGTTCAAAACTAGTTCGAATAGTGATCTACGAATAAATTTATTAGTCAACTGATTCAGAACTATTCGTACAAGCAGTTCGAGTGTTCGGGATTCAATCAGAGTCGGTCTTGGATCGATTCTGAACCTAATGAAAGTTTTGTTTTTTATCTCACTCAGAACTAATTCAAAATACCTAATTCTGAATATGCGCACGATAAAAAAGGCGTTTTCGTTTTTTCAGAATCGTTGACGTTTTGATTTATTTAGAACGATTCTAGGATTGTTCTAAAACGGTTCTCTCAGTTCTTGCTCTGAAGGAGGAACTGTTTTAGAATTTTGTGTTTTGTTTTTTTTTGGTTCCGAATCGATTCAGAATTAAAACTAGAACAGTCCCCCAATCTTCTATTCACTAGCAGTTCTTGCGCAATTCCAAAACTGTTCCAAATTTCGAACCAAAACAAAGCTATTGTGGACCAGCTCCTTATTGAATTTCTAGAACCACTAAAATTAATTCAAAATGGATTCGAATTGAATCCGTTCTAATTCTGTACCATTTGCACTAATTCGATTTTAATTACTCTAATATTCCAACTGTATATTAAATTCTAAATATTTGAATTCCTTCTATTGTTCGAGTTCCTCTAAGTGTTCCAATTGTTTTAATTTCTGTTTTATCTGCACTATCTCTATTTTGTTTGTACTGCTCTGATTGTTACTGTTCGAACTATCCTAATATGTTACTAAAGGTCTGTTCCCACAGAAGTCTCTGATAGTTTGCAAACTATCAGTAACTATCGCCCATACATGTTTTCGATGCTGTCGTTACAAGATAAATCTGTAACTCAGCTGAGCGATTGTTTCTGACAGGTTTCAAACTGTCAGAGACTCCTGTGGGAACAGACCTTAAAGCAATAGTTGTATTCCTTTCAAGAGTTTGAAACACTCGAGCTACTCGCTCCGGAGTTTAGTCGCCCCCGATTTGCAGGGAACAGATACGTAGTGCAACAAAGACTATTCGAAAGGAATGAGCGCGTGAAGCCCCGGAGCTGTTCCGGAGCTCTTCCTAGGTGTAAAAGAAATACAACTAATGAATTTATTCACTAGAACAATAGGCTGATTTGAAAATAATTTGAGATTTTTAGTAATTCTACCCTAACTGTTCCAAGTGCACTGACTCTTTTCAATCTGATCAACTGTCCTGATTACTTTGTTCTAATTTTGTTCCATTTGCACTAACTCGATTTAAATTACTCTATGCATTCCATCTGCATTATAAGTCGCGTTTTTATTCTCATCGGTGACTTCACCGATGAATGAGCTATCTTTGTTTAGTGAATGAAAAATGACAATGACGGCCATAGAATGGTGGATCCATCGGTAAAATTTGATGAGAATAAAAACGCAGGGATAATATCTATTTGATTTGCTTCTATTGTTTGAGTTACTTCAAGTGTTCCAATTGCTTTAACTTGTGTTTCATCTGCACTAACTGATTGTTACTGTTCAAACTACTCCATTATGTTACTAATCAATTAATTTATTTACTATAGTACCTAATAAGTTAATTTGAAAATTAGTTTTTGTTTTTAGTAATTTTACTCTGACTGTTCCAAGTGTACTGACTCTTTTTGATCTGTTCAACTGTCCAAACTAATTTGACAGTTCTAATTCTGTTCCATTTGCACTTAAATCGATTTAAATTACTCTTACCACATTAATTTCATTTGAATTCCTTCTATTGTTTGAGTTACTCTAAGTATTCGAATTCCTTTAATTTTTGTTTAATCTGCACTAATTTTGTTCTGTTTGCACTACTCTGATTGTTACTGTTAAAACTACTTCATTATGCTACTAAACAATGGATTTATTCACTATAACAGTAAGCTCATTTGAAAATTAGTTTTGGGTTTTTAGTAATTCAGCTCTGACTGTTCCAAGTGCACTGATTCTTTTTGATCTGTTCAATTGTCCGAACTACCTTGACTGTTCTAATTCTGTTCCATTTGTACTAACTCGATTTAAATTACTCTAAGCATTCCATCTGCATTTAATTCTATTTGAATTCCTTCTATTGTTCGAGTTACTCTAAATGTTCCAGTTGCTTTGATTTCTATTTCATCTGCACTTACTCTGTTTTGTTTGCACTGTTCTGTCACTGTTCGAACTATTTTAATAAAAATATGTTACTAAACAATGAATTTATTCACTATAACAGTAAGCTGATTTGGAAATTAATTTTGGGTTTTTAGTAATTCCACTCTAACTGTTCCAAGTGTACTAATTTCTTTTTGATCTGTTCAACTGTTCGAACTACTTTGACTGTTCTAATTCTGTTCCATTTGCACTATTCTATAATTTTATTTGAATTCCTTCTACTGTTCAAGTAACTCTAAGAATTCCAATTGCTTTAGTTACTATTCGAACTACTCTATTATGCTACTAATCAATGAATTTATTGACTATAACAGTAGCTGATTTGAAAGTTAGTTTTGGGTTTTTAATAATTATACTCTGATTGTTCCAAATGCACTGTCCAGCTGCTCTAAGTGTCCCAATTGCTTTAATTTCTGTTTCATATGAACTAACTCTATTCTGTTTGCACTACTCTGATTGTTATTGTTCGAACTAACTTTTATGCTACTAATCAATGAATTTAATTACTATTAGAAAGGAAATAGGCTGATATGGAAATTAATTTTGAGTTTCAAATAATACTGCTTTCACTGTTTTAATTTTGTTCCTAATTCGATTTAAGTTACTTTACCTATTCCATGTGCATTAATTCTATTTGAATTCTTTCTATTGCTTGAGTTACTCTTAGGGTGGGTATTATAAAACTGCTTTGACAGTTAACTTGAAGTTAACTTTTTGGATTACATCTAATTCCAGAAGTTAACTTTAAGTTAACTCTCATAGTAGTTTTATAATAATACCCGCCCTAAGTGTTCCAAATGCTTTCATTTCTATTCCATCTGTACTAACTCTGTTCTGTTTGCACTGCTCTGATTGCTACTGTTCAAACTAATTTCATATGCTACTGAATAATGAATCTATTCACAATAACAGTAGGCTGATATAAAAATTAATTTTGGGTTTTTAGTAATTCTACCCTAACTGTTCTAAGTAATTCAGGACTAGCTTTGTTTTACGTTTCATTCAGAACTAGCTCGGAATCATTTTGCACATACGCAAGTTATAAAAAGCGTTTTCGTTTTTTCAGAATCGTAATCGAGCCTTGTTAACAGCGTTTTGGTTTATTTAGATATAAGAACAATTCTGGGATTGTTCTAGAACGGTTCTGTCAGTTTTGGCTCTAAAGGAGGAACTTTTTTGGAATTTTGTGATTTAAGTTTGTTTTGGTTTTTTTGGTTCCGAATCCGTTTAGAATTGATATGCAGTCGTTTGGATTATAATCGCTCTCGGAGCAATCCCGCAGAGATCTGTGACGTCACTACTCAGACATGGAGCAGTAAAGTCGAAAATTTTATTATTTTCAAATTTTATATACAGTTCTGTGTTCGTATATCAATTAGAATCGGTGCTAGATCGATTCTGAATTAAATTTTAGAGATTTTAGAAAAACAAGAACCGGTTCACAGTACTCTACGACAGTTCTGGATTAGTTCCGAACTGATTCGGAACCGGTTTTCATATGTTCCGCTTTAAAACGGAGCGTTGCTCTCGGCAAGATTCACGTGTTCGACTTGAACAATAGAACCCTCTTCATCCTCCCACGAAGCGCTCTTTCTTGCTCCGTCAAATTCGATGGATCAAAGAATTTGTTCAAAACAATAGAGTATGTTTGGCGATTGATTTCCAATGGTGTGCCCTGTTTGTATTGAAATCACTCTCGGAGTACTCTCCCAGAGATCTGTGACGTCACCGCCCAGTCGGGGAGCGTTCTGGGAACAATAAAGCCAAGAATGTGAACAGTTTTTGACCAAAACCTTTGCTCGCAAATAACATTTTTACAACTAATTTAGGATTTTTGCAAAGCTCTCCGAATGGATAGAACTAGTTCAAAATTGATCCGGAATTGTTCTAATTAAATCTTGAATACCAAACTTCATTAGTTCGGAACTAGTCCAAGACTGGCCAGAGTATTTCATTGTTTCTTGTTGAACTTTTAAGAATCAATTGAACTAATTCAGAATTCATTCAATACTGACGAATCCCAAATTCTCAGATCGCAATCCGAACTTGTTCTGAATAAATTCGGATCAGCTTTGTTTGGGTTTCACTCGGAACTATTTAGCTTGAAATCATGCTGCACATACGCGTGTTGTTTGGTTTTTTAAGTTCCGAATCGGTTCAGAATTAGTATTATTAGAACAGTCCTCCATTATTTTTTGTGCACAAGCAGTTTCGCACAATCTCAGAACAATTCTAAATTTCGAACCAAAACAAGGATTCTGTTCGCAGATCAGAATCCAAAGCAGTTCGAACCAGTTCAGAAATGATTCAGGAATGTCGTAGAGTATTTTTATTTATTTTATAATGACCCAACTCTTTGTTGTATTCTTAGAACTGGTAGAGCTAGTTCAGAATTGATCCACAGCCGATTCTAATTGAATCCCGAACACAGAATTGTATTTGAAACATAAAGTTGTTTTCTCGCGTCCACTTTTTTGAAAGTGGTTTAAAACAGGTTAGTATTATACTCTCTCGATGAACCGATGACGTCACACAATATTGGTACAAACCGTAAGTAATGACGTCATTGTAAAACTGTTTTAAACCAGTTTTGAAAAATGTTTCAGAACTTTGAAACGCGATAAAACACCTCAGAATTAAAAGATCCAGGAATGACATAACTAATTTGAATTGTTCATGCAAATAGTTCTGAACCCAGCTCAAATTTTCTAAAATCATTACTCAAACCCAGAGAGACTGTTGTTTTTACATTGGAAATGGCAATGTTGCCAAGTTAACGTAAATTTCCTTAAAACGATTGTTTTTTTTTTAAAGCGTTATTGCCCAATTGGGAAAAAAAACAAAAACGTTTTTGTAGAATGTGCAGAATGATTCCGAACTAATTCCGAGTAAAACCAAAACAAACTAATGTCGTTTCTGAATCACTATATTGTGATATTTCAGATGTGGTTCTGTGTTCGGGATTCAATTCGAATCCATATAGGTTTGTTCGAACTAATTCAGAATCAGTTCTGAACTGAAGTGCGCTTGCGTATTTGTTCATACTGAACAACATAGACAAAAGTTTGGACAAACCTATTGAATTAATTCCCCATGTCGGGTAGTAGTGCTGTTTTTAACCGAAATTTGGAACGGTTCTGGTATCGCGCAGAACTGCTTACACACAAAAAAAACAATGGATGACTGTTCTAAATTTAGTTCTGAACTGATTCGTAACTAAAAAAAAAACAAAACGCAATCACAAATCACATACGAACAATAGTTCCTCCTTCAGAGCAAGAACTGATGTTCTAGAACAATCTCATTGTAATTGTTAACACGCGTATGTACAGAATGATTCCGAATTAGTTTTCACTCAGAACTATGTAGTTCGAAACAAACAAAGCTAATTAAATACTCTACGACAATCCTGCATAAGCTCCAAACTGATTTAGAACTGGTTCGGATTGGGATTTGCGAATTCGGGATTCAATCGGTTTTGAATGAATCCTGAACTCAGTTTACCGGTTTTAAGAATTTAACAAGGAACTGGTTCACAATAAAATACTCCAGGACATCGCATTTGCAGAATATTTGACAATCTTGAATAGTTCCGAATCAATTCAGAACAGGTTCGGATTGCGATCTGCGAATTCGGGATTCAATCGGTTCCGAATAAAATTAATTGAACTAGTTTACCGGTTCCGAGAATTTAACAAGGAACTGGTTCACAATAAAATACTCTAGGACAGTTCTGAATTAGTTTCGAACTGATAAAGTTCGGTGTTCGAGAGTCAATAGTTGTATTCCTTTCAACAGTTTGAAACACTCGAGCTACTCGCTCCGGTGTTTAGTCGCCCCCGATTTGCAGGGAGCGCGTGAAGCCCCGGAGCTGTTCCGGAACTCCTCCTAGGTGTGAAAGGAATACAACTGTTTAGAATCAATTCTGAACTAGTTGTATCGATTCAGTGAACTCGGTGAAAAACTACACTAATCAATAAAAGAAAGCGCCTTGCGGTTCTGTGACGTGACAATTTTGACATTTCAATTTGTTATTTATTTTTTGACATTTACCCAATGACATTTCTTTCTTTTGGTGTCATTTTGCAAAAATGGTAGGTTATCGAAAATTTCCTTGAAAAATATTAAAAAATCTTCAAATATTGGCTCAATCCTCGAGAAAAATTAAGTGAAAAATATCTAAACGAACCCCTTATAGTGTTGTGCATCTAATTTAGACAATATTTTTGTGTTTTTCATTACGAAACATTCAAGTAAGTTTTTCTATTTTTCTTTTTCTAGTCGCTGGTAATTCCGGAAAAATTCCAACACATCCTCCGTATCCTCGGTACCAACATCGATGGTAAGAGGAAGGTGATGTTTGCCCTCACCGCCATCAAGGGGGTGGGCAGACGGTACTCCAACATAGTACTGAAAAAGGCCGACGTCGACTTGGACAAACGTGCCGGAGAATGTTCCGAAGAAGAAGTCGAGAAAATTATTACCATTATGTCAAATCCCAGACAATACAAAATCCCTGACTGGTTTTTGAACAGACAAAAAGATATTGTCGATGGTAAATACAATCAAGTAAGTAATAATTGGAGTTTAAGGTCTGTTTGCAAAGAAATCACAAACCAGTCAGAGCAAATTTCATTGGTTGAAAACTAGTTTTAACCAATGGAATTCACCTAGTTTGTGATTTCTGCAGGAACAGACCTATTGAAGGGCCCCAAAGAATGCTTTGTGAACTGGAAACCTGCCCTTAGAGTAGTTTGTAAAATAGCAATTTCCATTCGTAGAATCAGTGCAAAAAAAAAAATATTATCTTTATCCTTACTATTCACATGCTTTTAGAAAAAGATGCAAATATACTTAGTGCACACTGATTGCCAAATGGAAATCCTCTTAAATTGCATCTTTTGCACTCACTGTGCAATTTGTGTATACTTTTTTTTGATAAAAGACATTTGAAGCATTGCTTATCTGTCAACTGTCAGATAAAAGTGTGCACTGAGTGCAAATGTATTTGTTCTAATTCATTGATTTTTATGCACATTAAAACGACCAATATCGATTGTCCATAATCATAGGGGTTGGTAGCTTGTGCAAAATAAAACTACAAATCAAAACTCGCCCAATCTTGGTCCAATATTGTGAATCTGGTGCATTGATTTATGTGCTTATATCAGAAAAGCATTATTAGGCAGTAAAATTTGAGGCTTGTTTTTGAGAAAAGGTAGCCTTTAATTTGTGACAAAACATTATTTGTGTCCCAGTTTAACATCACATGAGCATCTATAGTGACGTCACACATCTGTCATTGAATGAAACTAAAGGCGATTTCGGCAGCTTTGGTTGGTATACCATTTGGTTAACCAATTGGTACCTGCAACGTCATAGTAATGACGTAAGATACCATTTTGTTCCGAATTCGTTTGGTAGGTCATGAGAGAGGGGAAGAGACGAGCCTGAACCTAACTTTGTGTTGTTCTTCTAAGTTTCGGGAGCGACTAGATACTGACTGCACTGACTAAAATCTATAATCACTAATCAGCACTGTCTTAGACAGTACCTTTGAGTAACCTATTGGCTAACTCAGCGTTTTCTGTAAATTTAAAGCTTATTCCATAATCCATCCAGCATAAAAGTTACCCGATATCTGTCGTTCAAAGCCATTTTTCAAATGATCGTCAAACATTATTTGGCAGTCAAAACATACGAGAAAACAGGAAGATGAAGGCGAAAAAACAATAGTATATTGTTGTATTAGGAGTAGAAGCTTTACTTTTTTGTGCTGAAGCAGTAGGTTTGCGAGCCGAACGTAGTGAGGCTTGCAATACTGCTGAGGCACAAAAAAGGGCTTCTACTCCGTATGCAACACGTTATTTTTTCTCCAAACGAATGAAGTAAGCTCGGGGGTAACTGAATGGTTAAGCGGCAGTAAAAGTACTTTTGATGCCGCTCCAGCAGCACTAAAAGTACTTCTACTGCCGCTGCGGTTGCCTAGCAGCATAAAAATTAAAGGACATGGCACGGATTATATGGAAAAGAAAGGCCAGTCGATTTCTTTAAAATTTTAATATGTTGTAGAGTGAGGCAAAAGAAACAAAAGTTACCATGGGCCCATTGTGCCCCGACCAAAAGGAGACCCACTAAATGAGTTTAAAGAAAGCTTGGAAATGACCGAAAAAGGCAAATTACTAAGGTTTTCATGTTTTATATTGTTGTCTTTTTAGCTAAAAAGTTGGTTTGGTAAAAATACCCAAGATTTTAACCACAGCATATACAAAAACAATCAGCAGGCTAACTTGAGTGACATCCCGTGTAATAAAGGAATTCATTGTCGGGATGTCACTAGCGGCCATTTTGGGATACGAGACAGGACCTGATTAACAATAATTTAGATTTTTTCTTTCGGGTCACAGAGTCGTGTTGGCTTTAAATAAACTAATTTAATATTACTTACATATAATAACATTTATCCTTACTAATTTATTAATATTTTTCAATATACAAGAATGATAACTGATTACACCATAAATGACAACACGAATATACTAAAATGACTTTGAAAAATCATAACTAAAATTCCGCTCTACCCCGCACGCCTATGACCTCCGTCAGAAATAAACAAAAAAATTAAAATGTCGGCGTCCCTGCTGTTTAATGTCAGGATGGTATCCCCTAATGGCGGCGTGCGCAGAAAAGATGCGCGTGAGAGTTAGCCTGCTGATTGTTTTTGTATATGCTGTGTTTTAACGCCTCCCCCCCCCTCGCAAGAAGAAGGAAGGGCCCCCTAAAGAGATAGAAAATATCTTTCAAAAAATGATATCGACAGGTACCTATCACTTCCCTGCCCCCATCCCCAGACAAATTCGCGATTTTCAATTGTCTTTTTTTCGCGAAAAGGATGTATCCATAACATAATAGAATTCTAAGGCATAGTTATAGTAGTATGAATAAAGTGTAGATGGTGTGTTTTTATGTTTTACTTATATGTTTTTAAAGTGTTCTTTTAACTTATTTAGTGGGTCTCCTATTGGTCGGGGCACAATGGGCCCATGGTAACTTTTGTTTCTTTTCCCTCACTCTACAACATATTAAAATTTAAAAAAAAACGACTGGCCTTTAGTTTCCATTTAATCCGTGCCATGTCCTTTCTACCACCTCGACAGGTGTAAACCCGCTGGATTTGCCTACCAGCATAGAAATTAAAATTCTAACATGTTGACAAGTGCTGACAAAGTGACGTTTTTTTGACGTTTGGAGAAAAACCTATTTGTTAAAAATTTCAAATTATTCAAATTCTAATGAACTTCCATTTATTTACATTTCCCAGAGCAGGACAAAACGAAAATAGACGTAGATAGCACTATACTAAATAGAAGACCACGGTATCCTATTTGACAGACCAAAAAGGATACCAAAGTCCCGGTGACGACATCATTTTCGTATCCGAAATTGGTTGGTATGCATTTGACAGACCAAACAGGGTACCAAACCATGTACCAAAGCTTGCTGAAATCGCCTTAAGTTATCCTTCTATTTGTTCAATAATGGGTTTCTTGCATGATTTTTTTTTATTCGCTAATTGGAAAGAGGAGTCAAAATTAAGCTCAACTGTATTTTTTTCCGATTTTTTTCGGACTTGCAAAGGCTCTAAATTTCGATTTGAAGTTCAAATTTCTTGGTGCCGTCAGTTTTATCCAGTGTTGCCCAGATATTATGGTTTTCATGTAAACTAGGGATGCAATTTTTAGTACTTTTTAATGAACTAGTTCAGTAGTACTGAATCCTCACAATGTACTAGTACAATGTACTAATTCTTTAGTACATCTACGAAAAAGGAAAACAAGTGAGAAAAATGCAAAAAATACATATAAAAACCTTATTTAGTATTCAATAAAAATAAAATGAATGAATTATTTGCTAAAAGTAACATAGGTATACTATTTTGCATTTTGGAACTAAAATACAGCATTGATTTCCTGATATTACATCACACTTTTGTGTTTTTGGTTATCGGGTTATAGGTCTGTTTCTGCAAAAATCACAAACCAGTCAGAGGCCTTATTCTTGACTTTCTCTCAAGAGACTGTGTTGACAGGTAAACAGCGCATTAACTGTTAGTGTTAACAATGTCAATTTTCTACCTAGGTAAAGTCAATAATAAAGCTTCAGAGCGAATTTCATTGGTTGAAAACAGTCAGAAAACTAGTTTCAGTTTCAACCAATGAAATTCGCTCTGACTGTTTTGTGATTTCTGCAGAAACAGACCCTATAAACACTGTGTTCCGTTTGTGCTTTTGGTTAAACCTGTCGGCTAGATAGGTTTCTTCACATTCCGTGCTCATAGATTTTTGTTTTACATCTGTTTTAAACTTGTTTATTATAATTTTTTCTATGTATTACGATGAAAAGAATGTACTATAATATTATAGGACTCTAATGTTATGGTACTAGTACATATAGTACATTTAAAGGATCAGTACAATTGTACTAGTTCGTTCATGTACTACACATCCCTGTTTCCTGGCGGGATAATTAAATAGATATATCGAATTCACATATCGGACGGAATATGGAATCAATTCTCATTCCTATGAAAAACTTAACTCAACTTTTTAATTCAAATTCATTATAATCAATATTCATTATTAATTTTTATCTAAGCCTGTCCAAAACTCGAAAACAGGCAGAATTGGCACTGAAGGCAGTGAAGGCACACAAACCATCAAGAAACAAACCATAACCAGCATAAGAGAGCATAAGGCCATGTCGTTCATAATTAAATACCTACTCATTTTCTAGTGTGTGCCTCTAAATTTTTAAGGTGGGTTTATACAGCGCATAGGTAGCACATAAGAAATAAGATATAATATAATAAATAGGAATTTTGTGGCGTTTATACAGAAAATAACATAATATAAGAAATAATTTCTAACCAATCAGCTGGTACTTGTACTTATGTAAATTCTACCGAAAACACATATTTGATCAAAAAATTTATTAAATAATAATTCAGCAGAACACGATAATAAATGCCGAATTCCAAAAAATTACCAAAAGTTAAAATCAAAATAATTTTGTTTTGTTTTGAATGTTTTGTTTACTTCCCTGCAATCATGTCGAATCAAGAGAGAAGCATGTGCAGATCCGTTTTCACATAAGATAAGACATAAAATTTAAAAGTTAACCAACTCTGTTATTTCTATGTTTGTTATTTTCTGTATAAATGCCATAAGGGGTTTTCATAAGGTCAACTTTTTATGTTGTTATTTCTTATGTTATAGTCTAAGAGCCAGCGCCGGAAAAATTCTCTGAATTTACTAAAGCTAGTTTTTGGACAGTTGATTACAGTATTTACGTACATAAACATACCGCAGTCAGTCAAGCGAAACTTGGGACAAGGACCCAGGGTGTCTTGTTAAAAGTGTCGAGATAACTTGGGTAATGCAACGAATTTACTAAAGCTGAAAATCGTTATACATATTATATATAACATATAAATAACAGTAGTGTTAGTCAGTCAGTTGAATAGCGGGACCGTGCTGGTCAGTCAGCCCCAATAAATGTAAAAATCTGCAAAAAATATTAATATTACTGAACAAACCTATTAATTTAAACTTCAACCTACAATTTTGAATTGTCACTGTCACCTTGTCACTCTAAAAAAAAAAATAGACCTATTATTTTTTTTACATAAATTGGGGCTGAACTACCTCAATGGGGCTGAATGACCGGCCCAGTTCCGCTATTCAACTGACTGTTATTTATGTGTTATATATAATATGTATAGCGATTTTCAGCCTTAGTAAAGTCGTTGCATTACCTAGCTATCTCTACAACTTTAACCAGACACCCTAGGTCCTTGTCCCAAGTTTCGCTTGACTGACCGAGGTATGTTTATGTACGTAAATAATGTAATCAACTGACCAAAAACTGGCTTTAGTAAATTCAGAGAATTTTTTCGGCACTGGCTCTCCGGCTAATATGTCATGTGGCTGTATAAACCCACCTTTACAAGTTTCTACCCAATAAGCATGGGAATCAATTTGTTTGGGGAAGGTTGCTCTATCTGCATTTTACTAATACCTACCTACCTACCTAGACTACCTATACCCTTCATGTGAATTTTTTTCCCAAAGCATATGCTCACTTTTGGCCAGTTTCCGGAATCGGCTTTTTCAAACCGTTTTCCATTCTTTATCACAAACAAAATAGACAATAATTACCTAGCAATACAATTATTGTTATTTTTCTTTTAAGTAGTTTATGGAAAATAAAACACGAGTATAATTTTTATGTGTCTGTATTTCATACCTACCCTACCAGTTTCTCTAAAGACTAACTTTTTTACATTTTCACAGGCAAAAAAATCCTTTTTCTTTTTTCTACAAATTACGCTGCCCCAGACTGCTGTTTTTTGTTGTTAATTTAATTATTGTTTATTTTGTTTGTGATGGGCCAAGGGTCACTGACCTATTAGTAAACACAAATTCCTTTTATCGTTTTTGTACTTTATACTGTGCCGGACTAGTACAGATATTGATTTCTTTGTCTATAATTCGCATTTAGACAAGGCAAGAAAATTGTCGAGACTAGTTGATACTTCAATAGATGTCATTCTCCTCTATCAAGTCAAATGTCAATACACAAAGCGATTCTGATATATATATGCATCCTTTTTTGTTCGATGAGTTAAAAAAGAGAAAAAAAGGATTCGTTTGGAACATGAAAATTTGGCAATCAGTGATTTTTGATTGGTGGAAAAATATAGCGCAAAATTTAAATAATCTGTTTTCTTTTCTTTCAATTTCTGGCTTCAAGATTTTTAAAAAAATTAACCAACCATTAAAATACACTTTCGTTACAGATAAATTATTTACCTAATTTTGATTGAGTGCAAGAGGTCTATTCATATTTTTTTCATTCTCTGTCTTTTTCTTTCTCATTTCAATACTATTATCTTTCTTGCAAGATGAAATATTACCAAAAAAAAATCTATTTGAATTATTTGTTAAATGAACAAGTGTCTCTTCTTTCTTTTGTAGCTCACCTCTTCCTCGTTAGACTCCAAACTCCGTGAAGATTTGGAACGTATGAAGAAAATTCGCGCCCACAGAGGTATGAGACACTACTGGGGTCTCCGTGTCAGAGGTCAGCACACCAAGACCACAGGACGTCGTGGACGTACTGTTGGTGTGTCCAAGAAGAAGTAAATCTTAATAATAATTTTTAATTAAAATTAATATAAAAATTGTTTTATTTTTCCCCTTGAAGTTTCTCAAATTCCCACTGTTTCTACGCCTTTGAAAAATTTTAATCAAAAGTTTCAAAATTACAATATTATGTAGTCCAAAGGTACAGGTAAAATTTATCACCTTTCAATGCTATTTAATAGGGAAAGGTGATAAAATTACACCTTTGTACTACAGATTGTGAATAGCATATAATAATTATCATTTTCTCCCTCCTGATTAAGTAATTAAATATTCAAAAAACGTTTGCCCGAACTTTTAAGTTGCCTCATTACGGGACCTTCCTTACATTTTAATTAGAATTATTGCGGTCATAGAATATTATTCGTAATAGAACGAATTGCATTGGTATTAAGTGAAATAAAAATGGACAAAAAAGCAAACATTTCAGCCTTAAAGCTGCTAGTCCAAGGTAAAACTCCAATTATTAACATTTACTCAAAAAATCAATAATCCTGGTTTATAGAGGATGCATTTTTAACAACCAAATTCCCATACGATTTAGAAGAATACTTGGAAAGGTTTCTTAAAGGCACCGATTTTGATGTAGACAAGGCCTTAGATAGAGTAAAAATGATCTTCAAACTATTCGAAAGTGCTTAATTTATTAATTTTTAGATTAAAATGTACTATAAAACGTCAAACGAGTATCCTGATTGGTTTAGAATATCTCCGCCTATTGATCAGAAAAAAATTATTGAGGCAAATATACGAATATGTCTTCCAGATACTGACAGAGAAGGGAGACCGATTTATATTGTTAAACTGGGTAAGGGAGAGGTCAATTTGGCATTATAGGTCAAAATAGCCTTCAAAACCACTTCAAAATTGCTATTACAGTGTTGCAATTTTATGAAATTAGCTCCAAAATAGTGTTACAAGTATTTTTTGAAGTAGTTTTTAAAACAATTGTCCAAAATTAACTCCAATGGATTGAGTTCAGTGTTGCCAGGTTGGCACTTGATTTTGTGAATGAATAAGTTTTAAATCAGCTTTCATAAGAGACTTTTAATTTAAGTTGCAAATTCTGGCAACACTGGTTCAGTTTGACGGATTTTCAAACTTGTTTCATTGACTTTGAATTTCAAATAATATTTTCATTTGATAAATCCATACTAACTGGACTAATCAACTTTGAGTAAAGCAATGTTACCAGATTTCTTGTTGAAAAATATATTAAATTTTTGAAATTTAGTAACAAAATAATTAACTGTTGGCAACACTGTCTTTTTCCAGGGGATCGACTTCAACAGTTTCATTTGACATGGTTTTCATACTTGGCAACACTGTTTTTGTTTTCAGGACATTAACTTGACATCTTCATATGACGTATTTTCAAGCTTTTTTTATTTACTTTGAATTTCAAATTTTACATTAAATAAATCCAAACTAACTGGACTAATCCATATCAAATAAAACAATGTTGCCAGATTTTTTGTTACAAAATATACATATAAATTTTTGACAATTAAGCAACAAAAGTAACTGTTGGCAACACTGTTTTTTTTCCAGGAAATCAAATTGACATTTTCATATGACGTATTTTCAAGCTTCATTTATTTATTTTGAATTTCAAATTTTTCAATAAAAATCCAAACTAACGGTACTGAACAATGTTGCCAGATTTAGTGTTAAAAATATATAAATTTTTCACAATTTAGCAACAAAAGTAACCATTAACAACATTGTTGTTTTTTTCCAGGAAATCAACTTGACATTTTCATATGACGAATTTTCAAGATACTTTAAATTTGAAATTTTCCATTCAATAAATCCAAACTAACTGAACTAATCCATATTAAGTAGAACAATGTTGCCAAATATTTTGTTAGAAAATATATGAATTTTTGACAATTTAGCAACAAAAGTAACTATTGGCAACACTGTTTTTTTTTTCCAAAAAATCAACTTGACATTTTCATATGACGCATTTTGAAGCATTTACTTTGAATTTCAAATTTTTCATCAAATAAATCCAAACTACCTGAACTAATTCATATTAAGTAGAATAATGTTGCCAGATTTTTTTTAGAAAATATATAAATTATTGAGAACAAAAGTAGCTGTTGGCAACACTGTTTTTTTTTTCAGAAAATCAACTTGACATTTTCATATGACGTATTTTCAAGCTACTTTGAATTCCAAATTTTCTATTAAATAAATCCAAACTACCTAAACTAATTCATATTAAGTAGAATAATGTTGCCAGATTTTTTTTAGAAAATATATAAATTATTGAGAACAAAAGTAGCTGTTGGCAACACTGTTTTTTTTTTCAGAAAATCAACTTGACATTTTCATATGACTTATTTTCAAGCTACTTTGAATTCCAAATTTTCTATTAAATAAATCCAAACTAACTGCACTAATCCATATTGAGTAGAACAATGTTGCCAAATATTTTATTAGAAAATATATGAATTTTTGACAATTCAGCAACAAAATTAAATGTGGGCAACACTGTTTTTTTTTCCCTGCAAATCAACTTGACATTTTCATATGACGTATTTTCAAGCTACTTTGAATTTAAAATTTTCCATTCAATAAATCCAAACTAACTGAACTAATCCATATTAAGTAGAACAATGTTGCCAAATATTTTGTTAGAAAACATATGAATTTTTGACAATTTAGCAACAAAAGTAACTGTTGGCAACACTGTTTTTTTTTTTTTTTCAAGAAATCAACTTGACATTTTCATATGACGCATTTTGAAGCTTCTTTTAATTTCAATTTTTCCATTAAATAAATCCAAACTAACTGGACTAATCCATATTAAGTATAACAATGTTGCCAGATTTTTTGTTAAAAAATATATCAAATTGTTGATAATTTAGCAATAAAAGTAAATGTTGGCAACACTACTTTTTTTTCCCAGCAAATCAACTAAACATTTTCATATGACGTATTTTCAAACTACTTTGAATCTGAAATTTTCCATTCAATAAATCCGAACTAACTGAACTAATCCATATCTGTAATCCATATTAAGTATAACAACAATGTTGCCAGATTTTTTGTTAGAAAATATATAAAATTTTTGACAATTTCGCAACAAAAGTAACCGTTGGCAACACTGTTTTTTTTTTCCAGGAAATCAAATTGACATTTTCATATGACGTATTTTTAAACTTCTATTATTTATTTTCAATTTCAAATTTTCTAATAAAAATCCAAACCAACCGAACTAATCCATATTAAGCAGAGCAATGTTGTCAGATTTCTTGTAAGAAAATATATAAATTTTTAACAATTTAGCAACAAAAGTAACAGTTGGCAACACTGTTTTTTTTTCAGGGTAAAACTTAACAATTCTATATGTTGTGTTTTTAGGCTACTTTTGTTTATTTTGAATTTGAAAATTTGTAGAACCAGTTCAGAAAAAAATTATTTCTATCTCTTTCTTATACAAGCTGGTAAAGAAAGACATGAATATACTTTAGTGTACATTAACCATTCGTTATCAATTATCATTATTAATTTTAATAAAATAATGTCAGATTTTCTTGCTTGAAAATATTGATTTTCAACAATTCAGCAACACTGTAATGATACCAGTGTGTTGAAAGTATATTTTGGCAACACTGTCTTTTTTATGGAGATGATATTATCTATTTATTTTTAATTTTTTTGAAGTTGGTAGAACTGGAAAAAAGAGATTTATGGAAAAAACTGGATTATTTTCAACTATACAAGTGGCAACATTGGAAAATGTACAAAAGTGATAAAGACAAACTGAGGCAAAAACTAAGTGAAAAAGAGAAACTATAAAACATTTTATCAGAATTACCAACTTAATTGGGAATCTCACAAAAAAAAAACAGTGTTGCCTAATTTCTTGCCAAAAAAAAACTAATTTTTTGAATTATTATCAATACCTATGGCCTCTACTATTTCTTTTGAATATTTATTTCAAACATGGTAACATTGGAAAACGTACAAGAGTGATAAAGACACATTGAAACAGTGTTGCCTAATTTCTTGCCAAAAAATATGAATTTTTTGAATTATCAATACCCATGGCCTCTACTATTTCTTTTTGAATATCTATTTCACACATAGCAACATTGGAAAACGTACAAGAGTAATAAAGACACACTGAGAAATAATTATGCGAGTAAAAAAGAAACAGACAATTAGGAAAACATTTTATCAGGATTACCAACTTAATTGAAAATTTGACAAAAAAAAAAGTGTTGCATAATTTCTTGCCAAAAAATACTAATTTTTTGAATTGCATATTATCAATACTTATTTCTTTTGAATATTTATTTTAAATATGGCAACATTGGAAAACCTACAAAAGTGATAAAGACACACTTAGAAATTATGTGAGTACAGAAGAGACAGCCAACTAAGAAAACATTCTATTAGGATTACTTACCAAGCTTATTGAAAATATGACAAAAAAACAGTGTTGCCTAATTTCTTGTCAAAAAAATACTAATTTTTTTTGAATATGACATTAAATTTTATTTTTTGTCCTGAATATTTATATTAAACATGGCAACCTTGTACAAAATTGTGACAAAGATATACTGCATAATTACGCAAGTTAGAAAAAGACAAAAGCTGTGCTGCTGTAGGAAACTCCACTCAGTGTTGCCAATTCGGCCATTCAAGCGTATTTATTTCTCAGTTTGAAGGAAAATATCAAAAGATTTGGTACTAATTTTTTACGAATTCTGCACTCTTGGGGGTCGAAAAAATTAAGTTCTCCAGAAATTGGAGTGAAAATCACCAGATTTAAAAAAAAAACATCACCAGAAATTTTGAAAGTTAATTTTTCAGGAAAATTCTCGCCTTGCAGGTTTATATCAAACCAAGTAGGCTCTGGAAACATGTATGTATTGCAATGTCGGTATTACAGGGCACCATATTTAAATTTTAAAATTTTGCAATGCCTACTTTGTCCCTTGTCAAACAGTGTTGCCAACTACAACTTATAACAAATATTATGTCAATCATTCAGACTCAAATTAATACAAAAAAAAAGCCCAAGTAGGCCCTGCAAATTTCAAATTTTCCATAACAGTAATTATATAAACATCGGCAACACTGTTGGGCAAAATGTCAAATATCATTTATGACAAGCGATAAGATTACTACTTATCAAAAACTAAGTGAACCTTGAAGCAATCCTGGACTGGGATCATGACAAGTAGAATTCTATTTTCATGACGTTACCCGCGACCTATTTATTACGTATACTACAGACGATGATCACTGTTGCTAGGTAACCTGACGTAAAACTCTCGGTAAAACTTAACATGTGTTTTTAGGCTGGTTTTGTTTATTTTAAATTCGAAAATTTGTAGAACTAGTTCAGAGAAAATGTATTTCTATCTCTTTCTTATACAAGTTGGTAGAGAAAGACATGTATATGTTAGTGTGCATTAACCCTTTGGTAAGAATTCGTCATCAATTATTATTAATTTTAATTGAAACAATGTTGTCAGATTTTCTTACTCAAAAATATTGGTTTTTGACAATTCAGCAACACTGTAATGATAAAAGTTTGTTAAGGTATTTTTTGGCAACACTGTCTCTTTTATGGGAATAATATTATCTATTTATTTTTGATTTTTTGATATTGGTAGAACTGGAAAAAAGAGCTAATGAAGTGGAAAAATAAAATGCAAAAAAAAAAAATTAAATAAAAAGAGATTTTTGAGAAAAGTTGGATTATTTTTAATTAAAGAGGTGGCAACATTGGAAAATGCACAAAAGTGATTAAGACAAACTGAGGCATAAACCGAGTAAAAAAGAGAAACCATTAGGGAATCATTTCATCAGGATTACCAACTTAATTAAAAATTTGAAAAAAAAAACAGTGTTGTCTAATTTTTTGCCAAAAAATACTAACTTTAAATTATTATTATCATTTGGCCTCTACTATTTCTCATTTCTTTTGAATATTTATTTTAAACATGACAACATTGGAAAACGTACAAGAGTGATAAAGACACACTGCAACATAATGTAAGTACAAAAGAGACAGATAATTAGGAAAACTTTTTATCAAGATTACCAAGTTTGACTAAAAAAAAAAAAATTCTCATCAAAAATTATAAAACATGGAATATTAATAGATTGGCTTGAAATTATTTAGCAACTATTGGCAACACTGTCTTTTTCCAGGGAATTAGCTTGACAATCAGGCCTATGATGTATCCTCTCCTGTTATTTTAACAGTTTTGTTATAGCTCAAAATCTATACCTGTCTCTATTATTACGTGTAGAATAAACAGTGACAGATAACTTAACGTTGCTGTTAAAATAACAGAAAATGATACATCATAGGCCTCATTGTTTCCAAGTTCCTTCTATTTACATAAATTTTCCATTAATTAAATCCAAACTAACTGGACTGATCAATCAGTAAAACAATGTTGCCAGATTTTCTCGCTGGAAAAATGAACAGGGTGTCTAAAATACCATGGGGGACCACCATTGGTCAGTTAAATTAGAAAAAACTTACCATTCTCGAAATATATTATTAAAAATATATTTTCGTTGTTGCTAAATTTCTATTAATTTCCTAAATATAGGGTGATTTGCAAAAAACACCTAAAACTATTTTTTTTTTTTACAAATCACCCTGCATCTCGGAAACTAATAGAAATTTGGCAACAACGAAAATATATTTTTAATAATTTAATCTCCCTTGTATGTCTTACCGTTTCCAATATACCATGTGGTTTTTCCATGGAAAAATAACGTGTTTTTAGGCTACTTTTGTTTATTTTGTATTTGTTTGTTCAAGTATTTTTTGGCAACACTGTCTTTTTCCAGGAGATCGGTTTGACGCTTGCATATGACATATTTTTTCATTTATTTTTAATTTCAAATTTACCATTAGAAATAGAAATTCAAACCAAATTAATTTATCGGTAACAATGTTGTCAGATTTCTTGCTAGAAAAATTTATAGATGTTTGATAATTTAGTATAGAAATTAACTATTGGCAACACTATCTTTTTTCAGGAGATCGGTGATCGGTTTGACATTTGTATATGACGTATTTTGAAGCTTTTTTCATTTATTTTTTATTTACTACTTTTGTTTATTTTGAATTTGAAGTAAAACTAGTTCAGAACAAATGTATTTCTATGTCTTTCTTATACAAACTGGTAGAGAAAGACATGAATATACTTTAAAGTGCATTAATTTTTGTTAAGAATTCGTTATCGATTATTATTAATTTTAAGTAAAACAATGTTGTCAGATTTTTTTGCTCGATAATATCAGCAACACTGTAATGAAACCAGTTTCTCAAAGTATTTTTTGGCAACACTGTCTCTTTGATGGAAATGGTATTATCTATTTATTTTTAGTTTTTCGAAATTGGTAGAACTGGAAAAAAGAGCTAATGAAATGGGAAAATAAAATGAAAAAAAAAAAAAAAAAAAAAATTGAAATAAAAAAAGGGATTTTTGGAAAAAACTTGATTATTTTCAATTATACAAGTGGCAACATTGGAAAATGTAAAAACTGATAAAGACAGACTAAAGACATGAACCGAGTAAAAAAGAGATCCATTAGGGAATCATTTTATCAGGACTACCAACTTAATTAAAAAATTGACAAAAAAAAAAAACGGTGTTGCCTAATTTCTTGCCAAAAAATACTAATTTTTTTGAATTATTATCAATACCCATGTATGGCCTCTACTATTTCTTTTGAATATTTATTTTAAACATGGCAACATTGGAAGACATACAAAAGTAATAAAGACACACTGAGACATCACGCAAGTAAAAAAAAGACAGACAATTAGGAAAACATTCAATCAAGATTACCAACTTAAATAAAAATTGACAAAAAAAAAGACAGTGTTGCCTAATTTTTTGCCAAAAAAATACTAATTTTTTTGAATTATTATCAATACCTATGTATGGCCTCTACTGTTTCTTTTGAATATTTATTTTAAACATGGCAACGTTTAAAAATGTACAAGAGTGATAAAGACACACTGAGTCATCACGCGAGTAAAAAAGAGACAGACAATTAAGAAAACATTTTATCAGGACTACCAACTTAATTAAAACTTGACAAAAAAAAAACAGTGTTGCCTAATTTCTTGCCAAAAAATACCAATTTTTTGAATTATTATCATTACCTATACCTAATGGCCTCTACTATTTCTTTTGAATATTTATTCTAAACATGGCAACATTGGAAAACGTACAAGAGTGATAAAGACACACTGAGACATCACGCGAGTAAAACAGAGACAGACAATTAGAAAAACAATTTATAAGGATTACCAACTTAATTAAAAACTTGACAAAAAAAAAACAGTATTGCCTAAATTCTAATTTTTTGAATTATTATCAATATCTATGGTCTCTACTATTTCTTTTAATATTTATGTTAAACATGACAACATTGGAAAAGGTACAAGAGTGATAAAGACATACTGAGACATCACGCGAGTAAAAAAGAGACAGACAATTAGGAAAACATTTAATCAGGATTACCAACTTAATTAAAAATTAACAAAGAAAAAAACAGTGTTGCCTAATTTCTTGCCAAAAAATACTAATTTTTTGAATTATTATCAATACCTATGTATGGCCTCTACTGTTTCTTTTGAATATTTATTTTAAACATGGCAACATTGGAAAACGTACAAAAGTGATAAAGACACACGGAGACATCACGCGAGTAAAAAAGAGACAGACAATTAGAAAAACATTTTATCAGGATTACCAACTTAATTAATAAATTGACAAAAAAAAACAGTGTTGTCTAATTTCTTGCCAAAAAATACTAATTTTTTAAATTATTATCAATACCTATGTATGGCCTCTACTATTTCTTTTGAATATTTATTTTAAACATGACAACATTGGAAAAGGTACAAGAGCGATAAAGACATACTGAGACATCACGCGAGTAAAACACAGAGACAGACAATTAGAAAAACATTTTATCAGGATTACTAACTTAATTAAAAACTTGACAAAAAAAACAGTGTTGCCTAATTTCTTGTCAAAAAGTACTAAAGATTATCAAAATATCATTAAACCAGTATTTTTTTATCAAAAATGATAAAACATGCAATAATAATAGATTGGCTTGAAATTATTTACTTTTTTTCCTGAATATTTATTTTAAACATGGCAACATTGTGCATACAAATACAAGTTAGAAAAGGCTGTGCTGCTGTGAAAAACCCCAGTGTTGCCAATTCAGCTATTCAATCGTATTTATTTTTCCGTTTGAAGCAAGTATTAAAAGATTTGAAACTAATTTTCCATATTTTTAACTACATATTAGAAATTGATTATTGAGTATCTGGGCTGGGACTCTATAATGGACAGAGATTGTTATCCCTATCGCTATGGCACTTACTGTCTTTTTTTCTCTTTTCGAAATCGATAGAGATAGAGAAAATATTTGTTACAGAGTCTCAGCCCAGAAGCTCAAAAAGAGAGAGTTTCCTTTTTCAGGTAACGTAAAACCAACCGAAATGAACCTACCGGACATCGTAGCAGTGGACGATGCCTGGCTAGAGTACATTTTTTTGAATTTCGGTCCAGAAAACGGCATCTGTGTTCTTATAGATGTCGCTAACGTCCCATGGAAAAGCTTAAAGTGGCTGACACCCTACAACCTTAAAATATTCGTTAAAAAACTCTTATGTCAACCGTTAAAAGATTACCGGCTTCATGTAGTCAAAAATCACTCGATGGTTTATTTTGCTATGAAGCTTATTTGGCCTTTTTTACCTGAGGAATTGAAAGAAAAGGTATTGTGTAAACTTACTCAATATTGTCTAAGCAAGGGATTTGAAGCTATATGCGATGTTGCCATGTTTAATTATAAAAAAGCATTGTTGATTTTTGTATTATACTTGTAATATGTAAAAAAAAAACCGGACACAGCTGGGTATTTTATGAATAAAATCATCCATTTGCAGCTTCAGATCCCTTATCCAGACAATACATTATTTATTGAGCGCGTTTACATTTTTGGGTTTTAGATCCATTTTCATTTCGAGGATTGGGATTCTTTGCACAAACACATAAACAGTGATAGTTTACCTAAAGAATACGGCGGAGCGAATGGGGAAATCGATTTTCAGGAATTAAACAGAAACTTGTACGAGCAAAACGACAGGATTTATGATAGTTTTAAAAAATATAGGAAATAAAACTCATTATGTAAATGCAATAACTATGACACTTTGAAAAATTTATAAAATATTGCACATTAAATTGATATAATATCAAGGTATAGTTCATAAAGAAAGTGGCACAATTGTTTCTATAAAACGAAAAATTCTTAATTATTCGAGCAATGAGATTATTTCAATATTAAACTTAGGCCTTGTTTATTCAGCTTTTGAAATCTAGCAGGATCATAAGTTGGTAAATTTATCTTGTCTGTTACCAGTAAGTTTATCTAAAACTGAATAAACCAGGCCTAATTGAAAAACAAAAAAAAGATTCTTATATACAAAAGGACAGTATAAAAAACTAATCAACTAACAATTATACTTACATTTATATTTTACACGAAAAATAAAACTGAATTGGTACCTATACTCTATTGCTAGTTTCTTATTGCCACTTCGCCTGCCCCTCTGACATGCCGATCCCCATAATCATCTGCATCATCTAGTCAATGTTTTATTTCTTTGTCAATTATTTATTATATAAAAATTTTCACTTACCATCTCCTTCTTCCTCGTGTTGTAAATCCTTATAATCCTGATCATACCTCTTTTTACCGTCATTTTTCTGTTCAACTGCACCATTGATTTTTTCATCAGCAAAATTCAACCCGTCAGCATTTGGTCCGTCAAAAACCTCATGCGCTGCATTATCGTCCACACCTTTCTGATCCATCTGAACTTGTGGCTGCTCATTCTGATCCTCTCGATTTTCAGGAGGTTCAACCACACCTTGGGGTGCTTTCAGATTCACTTCTTTTTTGACTGTTTCAGGAGTAGGGCTAGAAAGGTTTACGGGTTTGACGCCGTTTGAGTTGGACTTTGAGGGTGACATTTTGGGAAGGGCTTTTGTCGAGCTGCTAGGGTTTTCGGCCCTTTTAAAGGCTGGAACATGTAGGACTGCTTTTTCTGAAGGGGCTGCTTGTACCAAGGGGGTTTCCTCAGAAGGATCACCACACTTGTTCTGAAATTAAGGAAAACAAAAATCTTGTATATTTTCCATTTTTTCTTTCATATTTTTTTCTATTCTTGGCTTTTGTATTTTCGTTTTTTTCTTAATTTATTCAAATTGGGGAAATTTTAAAAATAGAATATAAGAGCCTGAGATAGAAAAATTATACTATGGTAGCGCCCTTTGAGAAAAAAGATGTTTTATCTTTGTCGCTCTCGTTTCAAATCGCACAATTACGATAAAGACAAAATATTTGATCTGCCAAGGAGCGCTACCAACTAATTAGAAGTTGTAACCATGTGGTTATTATAGAAGTTTTTTTTTTGTCTTAATTGCTGTCTTAACTCTTTTTGCTTAAAACAACGTTGCCATTTCCTCTAAAAAATTCCATAATCCTTACCATTAATGCCCTGTATTTATCCTCCAAAATCCTATATTCCTCCCCATAAAACTTGCCAGTTGTATTACTTTTTTGCAACAACTTCAACTGAATATTCTCTAACTCCAGCTCAGTAAATTGAGTTTTGAGGCTCTCCTTAGAGGCTTTGACTTTCTTCAATTCCTCCTCAACTTCTTTGAGTTTTAGTTGCAAACTGTTAACTTCCTCAGAGTGTTTCTTTTGTGTTTTTCCATTTTCCTCTTTGAAATCATCGTGTTCGGTTTGCAGTAATTTGTAATGTTGCTGCAAGGAGTTGTACTTTATTAAAGCGTCATTTGCGATTTGTTTGTTTCGGTTCTTTTCTTCGTTTATTTTGATTTCCAGGGCGTTTTTGCTTTGCTGGTGTTCGGCCTTTTCGTTTTTCAGACTTTTTTCTAGTTTCTGCTTGTAGTCGGATATAACTGGAATAGAATTTATAATTATTAATGATTTGGTCAAGGGGCAAACCATCTAGGAATTCTTTGCCAAAAATGTGGGGAATTTGTGGGGGATTTATAGGGAATTTGAAGGAATTTATGGGGAATTTGTGAGGAATTTAAAAGAAATTGTTGGGTCATGACATCACTGAGGTTCACATTCATTAATAAATGAAAATTTGGACGTTGGATATTCATTTTTATTAAAGAAATCCTCCCAAAATTACACTACATGATTTACAGGTCCAAATTTAAAAAAATCAAAAGAATAAGGAATACAGTTTTTGTAGGCTCATTTTCAAGATTTTTCATGTTGTTATTTTCCACTGGAAAAATTTGAAATTTTGGGAAAATGAGCTTCTCAGCTTCCTCTTTACATGCAAAAAGTTTCAAAATTTTCCCTTTACTAGTTTTCCAGGAAAACTTTGAAATATGTGATACTGTATTTTCAATTAATTCAGTTATTGTAGGTTGATTTCCAATATTCCTTATGTTGTTATTTTCCACTGGAAAAATTTGAAATTTTGGGAAAATGAGCTTCTCAGCTTCCTCTTTACATGCAAAAAGTTTCAAAATTTTCCCTTTACTAGTTTTCCAGGAAAACTTTGAAATATGTGATACTGTATTTTCAATTAATTCAGTTATTGTAGGTTGATTTCCAATATTCCTTATGTTGTTATTTTCCACTGGAAAAATTTGAAATTTTGGGAAAATGAGCTTCTCAGCTTCCTCTTTACATGCAAAAAGTTTCAAAATTTTCCCTTTACTAGTTTTCCAGGAAAACTTTGAAATATGTGATACTGTATTTTCAATTAATTCAGTTATTGTAGGTTGATTTCCAATATTCCTTATGTTGTTATTTTCCACTGGAAAAATTTGAAATTTTGGGAAAATGAGCTTCTCAGCTTCCTCTTTACATGCAAAAAGTTTCAAAATTTTCCCTTTACTAGTTTTCCAGGAAAACTTTGAAATATGTGATACTGTATTTTCAATTAATTCAGTTATTGTAGGTTGATTTCCAATATTCCTTATGTTGTTATTTTCCACTGGAAAAATTTGAAATTTTGGGAAAATGAGCTTCTCAGCTTCCTCTTTACATGCAAAAAGTTTCAAAATTTTCCCTTTACTAGTTTTCCAGGAAAACTTTGAAATATGTGATACTGTATTTTCAATTAATTCAGTTATTGTAGGTTGATTTCCAATATTCCTTATGTTGTTATTTTCCACTGGAAAAATTTGAAATTTTGGGAAAATGAGCTTCTCAGCTTCCTCTTTACATGCAAAAAGTTTCAAAAATTTCCCTTTACTAGTTTTCCAGGAAAACTTTGAAATATGTGATACTGTATTTTCAATTAATTCAGTTATTGTAGGTTGATTTCCAATATTCCTTATGTTGTTATTTTCCACTGGAAAAATTTGAAATTTTGGGAAAATGAGCTTCTCAGCTTCCTCTTTACATGCAAAAAGTTTCAAAATTTTCCCTTTACTAGTTTTCCAGGAAAACTTTGAAATATGTGATACTGTATTTTCAATTAATTCAGTTATTGTAGGTTGATTTCCAATATTCCTTATGTTGTTATTTTCCACTGGAAAAATTTGAAATTTTGGGAAAATGAGCTTCTCAGCTTCCTCTTTACATGCAAAAAGTTTCAAAATTTTCCCTTCACTAGTATTCCAGGAAAACTTTGAAATATGTGATACTGTATTTTCAATTAATTTAGTTATTGTAGGTTGATTTCCAATATTCCTTACTTGATTCCTTATGTTGTTATTTTCCACTGGAAAAAATTGAAATTTTAGGAAAATGAGCTTTTCACCTTTCTCTTTACATGCAAAAAGTTTCAAAATTTTCCCTTCAGTAGTTTTCCAGGAAAACTTTGAAATGTGTGAGACTGTATTTTCAACTAATTCAGTTTTTGTAGGTTGATTTCCAAGATTTTTCATGTTTCTGTTTTCTACTGGAAAATTTTGAAATTTTAGGAAAATGAGTTTCTCACCGAGCTTCTCACCTTCCTCTTTACATGCAAAAAGTTTCAAAATTTTCCCTTTACTAGTTTTCCAGGAAAACTTTGAAATATGAGATACTGTATTTTCAATTAAATTCAGTTATTGTAGGTTGATTTCCAACTCGATTTCCAATATTCCTTATGTTGTTATTTTCCACTAGAAAAATTTGAAATTTTGGGAAAATGAGCTTCTCACCTTCTTCTTTACATGCAAAAAGTTTCAAAATTTTCCCTTTTTTTAGAGGAATTTGTGAGGTATTTGGAGAAGTTCGTGGTGGGCTATTTGGAGGAATTTGTGATGCGTAAAAAATTCCCCTTTGAGAAATTGTTTGCACCAATTCTGGGATGGTGGTTTACCCCTTGGATTTGGTTGAAAGGTAACTCAGTAAACATATTTCAGAGATAGATAAAAAAAACCTTAACTAGTGTAAATCCATGGCCGAGGGGTCAACCACTTCCCGAAATACGTGTACAATTGGCCGGAATTACCTCCGAAATACTTCGAAGTACCTAGAAATACCGTAAAGTACGTTGAAATACCAGGTAGGTATTCCCGTCGAAGTACGAGAAATCCCATGAAATTACCGCGCGAAGTCCCGCAATTCTAAAAAAATTCTCGTTTATAACGATTCTTCTTGTGGATCACAGTGAAGAATTTTTGCTTGGATTTTTGTATCTTTTGATATGATGGATTATATTCGGACACACAAACAACAATTAAATCAATAGTTGCAGGAATAAGAATAAAACATTAACATATAGGATAAAAACAGCTATCGGAATATCAGATATTTTCAATGGAATGAGAAGTGTGACTTCTCCAAAAATCATACAAAAAACCGCTCATCCATGGTGTAACTCTTTGGTTTTTGGTTCAAATGATTTTTTAGTATCATTTTTGATTTCTCCAGAAAAAAAAATGTTCCAATTAGCTATTTTCAATGTTCTCAAAAATACAGGGAAAGTCAAAAATAATCCCCTGTTAACCCCTGTTCAGTCCTCGTTGGATGACCGATGATCTTGTACTCTTAACAACTAAAGGGTCATTTACATCCACTTAACCTAACTTAACGTACGGAAAATTATAATTAACGTACGAAACTGATAATTTACAGACTAGTGCAATCTGTGTGTCATTCAGAATTATTATTGAAATTAACGTACGGATTTCCTCAAGTTGAAGTTGGTTCAGATTTCCGTGTGGTACGTTAATTTTCTTAATTTTTAAGTGGATGTAAACAACTACAGATAAGTATACATGATCATCAACTTTTCTTTATTATTAATTTTCTGTATGTTAAGTTTAGTGGATGTAAATGACACTTTACTAATACTGATTACTGATACATATCAGGTAGTATATCTTTCCATTTGTTTCAATTAATCTGCAGTAAATCCAAATTATGTAAGCATATTTAGCCCTCGATTTAGCTTGTTCGAAGATGGACTATAATTTTCATTCTATAATATTTCAATTTTGGGTGATAAAGAATTAATTATTCTCGGTGCATATAAAAAATACTAATAATTTTAAATAGCGCGAAATAACTCGGCTTATCGCGAAATACTTCCGAATTACCTCGAAATACTTCGAATTACCTCGAAATATTTAGAATTATCTGCAAATATTTCTTAATACTCGGCAATACCACAAAAAACTAGGTTCGAATTACCACCACCGAAATACTTGCGAAATACCGACATTTTCGCAATACGTGTACACATTTTTACAGAGTGGTTGACCCCTCGTGCATGGCCTACTTGATAAGAACTTTTTTCAGAAACTCTATCTGTCTCTTTTCAATTTCGTCAATTGAAAAAGGATGGCAAACAAAATAGTTACATTGTTGCCATTGTTGAATTATCATTGTTGTCATTCAATTTGATTTATTTAATAAAATATTTTAAAATTGTATAATCTGGTTGATTTTAGAAAGCGCCCTGACTTTGGACAGTTGAAAATGCATAGCCAACTTGATTAAAAGTATCTATCTGTCTCTTTTTGATATTATTGATTAGAAAAGAATTGTGTCGAAAAGTTCAAATGCCAAATATCTGTCGGTCAATAAAGTAGATTGCCGACAACATTAATTCTAGTTGGCATATTGACATTTGACAACTGCTGATACGTGTTCCGTATACAGAAAGTGTTTTTCTTTTCGAATGTCCATTTTAAAAAAAAAACTTAATACTGTTTTTTTTTTCAACATTAATAATTAAAAAAGGACCAACGAAAATCAATAAAAGAAGGCACCATTTTCTTGAAATTTGATTGGGTAAATGCATGGCCTACTTGATGAAGGATTGTGTCAGAAAATTTAGCTGTCTCTTTTTAATATTATTAATTGAAAAAGGACGAAGATAAACAACAAAAAATACATTGCCAAATTGATTTTAAAAAAAATCACTGTCTTTATTTGATGTTATTGATTGGAAAAAGACAAACATAATTATTATATTGCTAAAGTTTTTGTTTGCAATAAATCCATGGCCTACTTGATAAGAACTTTTGTTAGAATGTCAATCTGTCTCTTTTTAATGTCGTGAATTGGAAAAGGATGGTAAACAAAATGGCTACATTGTTGCCACTGTTGAATAATTATTGTTGAATAGTTCAAACCTTTAGTTTACATAGTATTTACCTCGGTATTCATATAAACTAGACATGACACTAATGCCAGTAAAAAAATAATATTTTTACATAAATTTTACCTAAATGAAACAGATAAGTATGTTTATTGGAAAGAAGAGTATAGAACGAACCAGCTTTTAAGGTAAGTATAATTTAAGATAACATAATTCTATAATAAAACTGTCACAAGTTCTTACCTTGTAGTTGTGTAGACAAATTGTCTTGTTCCTGCTGGCAAATATCTTTAGATTTTTTAACTTCATCCAATTGGGTTAAAGTACTATTGTAACAAGCTATGAGGCCAGTAATGGCTAAAATGGCACAAACGTAGAGGAACATTTTGGCCTTAGTGCCCCTTATTACCCTCGAACTAGTCATCACATTTGATTTTATGTGGTTTTTAATTATTAAAAAACTTTTTAACTTTCACCTTTCGACAGTCATATTTTGTTTACATTACAAAATTATTGACAATCGATGACAGTCAATGACAGATGTTAAAAGAAACAGATGACGCTTTTGTTACGAAGCTTTACTGATAGATGGCGCCAGCGGATAGAAACAGAAACCTGTAATTTGTGAAACGAAAATTACAATACAATGAACTAAATACTTTCATGATTTCATCATCATTTCATGAAAACAAACTCATGACGTCATATTGAACGTAGTTCGCTGGAAGCATGAATGCAGTTTCTAGCCAGCACTCAAACTCATGACGTCACAAGACGAACTATTGATGAACTTTGTCGAAATATAAACAATTATTTTACTGTAAACCAATCATTAAAACGACAGAAGAGTGTAATTAAAACATGCAAATTTAATGAGAAGAAAAATATTAATTACAAATTATAGCCCAACAAAAACAATAATAATTAAAAATTACAAATAGTTTGAATAATTAATGCTAATTAATAGGTAGGTATAGATAATTATGTACTTTTATTAATCTATAACAATTGGCCTGATGATATAAATTGAAAATAATTCTTTGGCTTAATAACAGTCTTTATAAAACAGTATAACTATGAAGGTAAGTTTGATGATTTTTTAACAAAGCGGCAACATTGTATCGAAATCAACTTTCCCCCCATTCATAACCTCAAAAATTTTCTTCTAGATTTTTCCAGAATGTTCTTACCTGTCACTAACGATGACCAGCGGCTCGCTCCTAGGCATAATCCCATGGCAATTTGTCTTTTCCAATCATATATTTCTCCAAAAAATTTACCGCCTTTATTCAAATTTGATGCTCAGCTACTACGCTATTTTCCTAGCTTCAGCTTACGTCAAATTGTTTCTATTACTGACTGAAGCTGACAGTTTGAAGCCGGAAGAAATTACGCAAAACGTTCCAGTAACTTTTATCAATTCAATCACGTTTGCAAAGCAATTTATTATTAGATTTAAAGGGGGTTTTATAGGGATTTTAAGGCAAATTATCGAAAGCGAAAGTTGCGTTATTGAAATGGAAGATCAAGAGGTAAAAGCTACATAAACTTTGACACATTATTGATAGATGGCGCTAGTTTTTCAACTTACTTTTTTCCAATTTAAAGGTAAGCGCCATCTATGAAACTACTAGCAAAGCTATGAAAACCAAAAGTAAATGGTACTTGGGTATTTTGCTGGTTTGTACTCTGCAGTACTCGTTGGTGCCGGTTTTAATGGGCCTAGAAAAACCAAATGCAACTGAAACCAGCAAACCTTTGCCGTTGTCTTTGTGGTTTCCCGTGGACGAACAAAAATATTATTTGGTAAGAAAATGTCACTGAACAAGAATTCATCCTTCTTTAAAAATTTAAGAAAGACAAAGATAAAGCTTATGCTGGAGTAAGTCAAGTTTCAATTTGTACTAGTCAACCTAATAACTGCCTAATATTTACATCTTTTTTTAATTGTTAACTAGGTGGCAGCATCTATTCGTGACTCTATCAAAATTGTCAAATTTCGAATGAAACCAAATTAAATTATGACAGCTTGTCAATTGTCAATTTTTTCCTCCTAGATCGCTTACGCACGTCAAATCCTAGATGGCGCCGTAGCGATTTCTTTTATCGCCTACACGGACGTTTTTATGTTCACCGTAATGGTATTTCCAGTTGGGCAACTTCGAATTTTGAATTTTATGCTGGAAAACTTTGACAGCTACAAACGAAAACACTCGAATTTACATGGAACAGATTCAGCAGTCGCTCACAAAGTGTTTGTCGATATGATTTTGAGACACAAAAAAATTATCGAGTAAGTTAACTGTCAACTGTCAAATTTGACATTGTTTATCTGTCATCGTAACTTTCAGGTACGTAAAGAGCTTCAATGACACTATGAGCTCTTTAATGCTTCTTCAATTTCTACAATGTTCCATTGAAATCGCTTTTATTTGTCTTCAAGCAGTTACGGTAATATTTGAATTCAAATTTTTATGACGTCACTTGTCAAATTTGAATGTTTTCAGAATGAAATAACCCTTGTCTTAGTGTTCTTTGTCCTAACACTTTTTCTAGCTCTAATTATCAGATTGTTTTTGTACCATTACTACGCCAATGAGATTATTATTCTGGTAAGTTGATAGGTAATTCAATTCATATGGCGGCCATGGTCAAACAAAGAAATTGACGCTAGGGATTTCATTTACCTTCAGATATAACGATGACGTGTTCTTATCAAAAAACTCTGTGTGGAGTTCTAAGGGGTTTCCTATTGGTTGATAAGAATAATTTTCGTAATAAAAACAAACACACAGATGTTTGACCATTGCCGCCATATTGATTATATTATGTTTTGACAGGATAAATTCAATTGTAGAGCCAAAATCTGGCAAGTTCTGTTTGGAAAAGCGACTGGTACAATCAGCCTAAAAACGTAAAAATTTTGATGCAAATTTTCATGAGGCGTGCGCAAAAGCCGCTTTCCTACACAATCGGGCCTTTCAGCGACATGTCTTTGCAATCTATTATAGCGGTAAGTAGGTACTGACAATGACGTCATAATTAATGAACTTAACCTCCTATAAATAACTAACCTCGACTTATATGTATTTTTTTTTTAGATACTCAAAGCTGCTTATTCTTATATAATGCTGGTTAATAAACGTTAATTAAATAGTTGAATAAGGTTTTAGTGATTAAAAATAAAGATATTTAAGCATTGGTTAGTAGCATATTAGAGTAGTTCGAACAGTAACAATCGGAGCAGTGTAAACAGAACAGAATTCGTGCAAATGGAGAAAAATTAAAACAATTAAAGTAATTCGGGAAATTGAACAGATTAAAAAGAGTCAGTACGTACACTTGGAACAGTCAGAGTCGAATTACTGAAAACCCGAAATAATTTTTTAAATCTGCCTGCTGTTAGCAGTTGTATTCCTTTCAAGAGTTTGGAATACTCGAGCTACTCGCTCCGGTGCTAGTCGACCCTGATTTGAAAAGAAGAGATGCGTGGTGCAACAAACATTATTCTAGAACGCGTAACGCTCCGAGCTGTTTCGGAGCTCATCCTAGGTGTGAAAGGAATACAACTATAGTAAATAGCTTCATTTATTAGTTGTATAATGAAGTAGTTTGAACAGTAACAATTGGAGCAGTGTAAACAGAACAGAGTTAGTGCAGATGGAACAGAAAATAAAGCAATTGGAAAACTTAAAGCACCTCGAACTATATGGAATGTTTAGAGTAATTTAAATCGAGTTAGCGCAAATGGAACAGAATTAGAACAGCCAAGGTAATTGAACCCCAGTTGAACTGATCAAAAAGTGTCAGTGCACTTGGAACAGTCAGAGTAGACTTACTAAAAACCCAAAATTAATTTTCAAATCAGCTTATTATTATAGTGAATAAATTCATTGTTTAGTAGCATATTAGAGTAGTTCGAACAGTAACAATTGGAGCAGGGCAAATGAAACAGAGTTGGTGCAGATGAAACAGGAATTTGAGTAATTGGAATACTTAAAGTAAAGCCTAGTACTCATAACTGCGAAATTCGCATTTTTTTGACATTTCTTCGACAATTTGACGTTTAATTCACGCATAAAACGTCAATTTGTCGAAGCAATGTCAAAAAATTGCGAATTTCGCAGTTATGAGTACTAGGCTTAACGCGAACGATAGAAGGAGTTTTAATAGAACTAATACAGATAGAATGCTTAGAGTAATTTAAATCGAGTAAGAGCAAATGGAACAAAACTAGAACAGTCAAGGTAGTAAGGACAATTGAACAGATCAAAAAAAGTCAGTGGAATAGTCAAAGTAACATTCATAACAACTCAAAATCAATTTTTGAATCAGCCTACTGTTATAGTAAATAAATTCATTATTTAATAACATATTAGAGTAGTTCGAACAGTAAGAATCGGAGCAGTGCAGACAAAACAGATTTAGTGAATTAGTATAGATGACATAGAAATCAATACAATTAGAACACTTAGAGTAACTCGAACAATAGGATAAATTCAAATTGAATTAATGCAGATTAAATGTTTAGAATAATTTAAATCGAGTTAATGCAAATGGAACAGAACTAGAACAGTCAAAGTAGTTCAAACAGGTGAACAGATCAAAAGGAGTCAGTGCACATGGAACAGTCAGAGTAGAAGTATTACAAAACCCAATAGTAATTTTCGAATTAGCCTATTGTTATAATAAATAAATTTATTGTTCAGTAGCATATTAGAGTAGTTCGAGCAATAACAATCAGAGCAGTGCAAACAGAACATAATTAGTGCAAACGGAACAAAAATTGAAGCAATTGGAACACTTAGAGTAACTCGAACAATAGAAGGAATTCAAATAGAATTAATCTAGATGGAATATTTTTCTGAAATATTTTAAATTCAAAAAATTACCTCCAAAAGTCTCACTACTGTACTAAACACAAGACTAAAGTGCATTTGGAATAGAACGGAGTGGCTATTTATCACGTGATTTCTTGGAACTCAATCCCGAATTTAAAAGTTCTTACTCCGAATGAGTGGATTAAAAAAATATTTAGAAGGTGAGTTCGGAATGGTAGAAAGTATCTACACTTTTTACACTATTGACACTATGGCGTTCGTTAATTGGTAGGAGTGTTTGGTGTACACTTTTTTTGCGTTTGGAATTAATTTGGTGTCCGAATGGAGTGAAGATGGTAGGACACCGTTTACTCGGTACAAAATGATGGTGTATTCGGTGTTACACCGCCGATTACACCTTTATCACGTGATATAACATTGCATCACACGAACACCGCACTAGCACTGCACTAAAATCCCATTCCGAACTCAACTAGAGTTGGTTTGCAATGAATCACTCCGGAGCAGCCAGCTCAAGAATATTTTGAAATGTTTCACTGCTCAGAGTACCTGGGACTTGAACTTATTGTAACGCCCTGTCCCTTTGTGTTCATACTTTTATTTCAATATTTTTCCAAAAAATTGTAAATTAATTCAAATCAAATCATCATTTCATCATAAACTTGAAGTCATCACGAGATGGTTGCAGTGCTATTTTATGATAAACAAGTAATAAAGCTTCACATTCTAGAGCACGTTGCTCTAATTGTAGAACAGTTGCTTTGCAGTGGAGTAGCTCACTAGAATTACTCCGGAACAGCTCAAATAAATACTTTGCATCTTTCTAGAGCTTACAATATCAAACATTTAAATTGTTTCAGTGTCATTTTAACTATTATAAAAATTTGAAAACTGGTAATCTGAATGCATCCACTTGCAAATTTAGAGCTGTGTTCGGCTATTCAGCGCGGAGTTGGAGTGGAGTGAACAGAGCTAATGGAGTCACCCCTAATACGGTAAAAAGCAATACCCAAAACTTAACCCGAACGGCTGGAGTGCAAATGGAATCACTCAGAGTGCACGGAGTGAGCAAGCCGAACCCACCTTAGGATCACATCGACCGAAAAACATCACAATCACATGTGGATTCAAGTGTAAGCTCATGCAAAACAGTTTGAGAGCGTGACACTCTAGAGTATGTTACTCTTATAATTCAGACACTGAAAAGTTGTTCCGAATATGAAAATAGTTTGAACAGGTGCATTTAATTTCAAAATAATTAATCTGAAATAAATTTTAGTTGAACTACGAGCAAGAAATTTCAACTCAATAGTTCAAATTTTGAATCATAACGGTCACAAATCATTACAAGTGGGTTTAAGTGCCAATTAATATAGATAGAACAAACAGTATGAAAACGTGACACTCCAGAGTATGTTACTCTGGTAATTCGAGCACTGAGAAGATGTTTTACATATCAAAAGCTTCGTTTTGATTCGAAATTTTAAAACAGGTAAATTAGTTAGTACAGTTGAACAGATCAAAGGGTCACTGCACTTGGAACAGTCAGAGTAGAATTACTAAAAACCTAAAATAATTTTCAAATCAGCCTACTGATAGTGAATAAATTCATAGTTTAGTAGCATATTAAAGTAGTTCGAACAGTAACAAACGGAGTAGAGCAAACAAAACAGAATCAGTGCAAATGGAACAGAAATTAAAGCAATTGGAAGGAGTAACTCAATCAATAGAAGGAATTCAAATAGAATTAATCTAGGTGGAATCATTTTTTAAAATATTGCAAATTTAAAAAATTACCTCCAAAAGTCTCAAGTGACTCACTACTGCACCAAACTCTAGACTAGAGTGCATTTGAAATAGAACGGAGTGACTATTTATAACGTGACTTCTTGAAACTTAATCCCGAATATAAAAATTCTTACTCCGAATGAGTGGATTAAAAAAATATTTAGAGTTGGTCTTCAATGAATCACTCCGGAGCAGTTCAAGAATGTTTTGGAATGTTTCAGTGCTCAGAGTATCTTGGAACTCATTGTAACCACCTGTTTCTTTGTGCTCCTACTTTTATTTCAACATTTCTCCAAAAAATTGTAAACAAATTCAAATCAAATCATCATAATTAAACCTGAAGTAATCACAAGATCGTTGCAGTGCTATTTTATGATGACCAGTAAGAAAGCTTCACATTTTAGAACACGTTCCTCTAAATGTAGAACAGTTCGAAATGCTTTGTAGTGAAGTAGCTCACTAGAATTACTCCAGAACAGCTTAAATAAATACTTTGTATCATTCTAGCTTACAAAATCGTTTCAGTGTCATTTCGACTATTATAAAAATTCAAAAACTAATAATTTGAATGAATCCAGTTGCAAATTTAGGATCATGATCGCATCGTGGATTCAAGTGCAAGTTCATGCAAAACAGTTCGAGAGCGTGACACTCCAGGGTATGTTACTCTAATGATTCAGACACTGAAAAGTTGTTCTGAGTATGAAAATAGTTTCAACAGGTGCATTTAAATTCAAAACAGAGTAAATATAATTAATCTGAAATGGATTTTGATTGAACTCCGAGCAAGAAATTTCAAATTTTGAAGCATATCGGTCACAAATCATTACAAGTGGGTTCAAGAGCGAGTTCATATAGAACAAACAGTATGAAAACTTGACACTCCAGAGTATGTTACTTTGGTAATTCAAGCACTAAAAAGTTGTTCTACATATCAAAAGTTTCGTTTTGGGTGGAAATTTTAAAACAGTTAAATTAGTTACTACAGTTGAACAGATCAAAGGGTCAGTGCACTTGGAAGAGTCAGAGTAGAATTACTAAAAACCTAAAATAATTTTCAAATCAGCCTACTGATAGTGAATAAATTCGTAGTTTGGTAGCATATGAGAGTAGTTCGAACAGTAGCAATCGGAGTAGAGCAAACAAAACAGAATTAGTGCAGATGGAACAGAAATTAAAGCAATTGGAACACTTAGAGTAACTCGAACAATAGAAGGAATTCAAATAGAATTAATCTAGATGGAATATTTTTTTAAAATATTTCAAATCTAAAAAATTACCTCCAAAAGTCTCAAGCGACTCACTACTGCACGTAACACTAGACTAAAATAGGTGCATTTTGAAATAGAACGGAGTAACTATTTATCACGTGACTTCTTGGAACTTAATCCCGAATATAAAAATTCTTACTCCGAATTAATGAGTGGATTGAAAATATATTTAGAGTTGGTCTTCAATGAATCACTCCGGAGCAGCTCAAGAATGCTTTGGAATGTTTCAGTGTTTAGAGTACCTGGGACTTGAACTCATTGTAACGCCCTGTCCCTTTGTGCTCCTACTTTTATTTCAACATTTCTCCAAAAAATTGTAAATTAATTCAAATCAAATCATTCCTGAAGTCATCACAAGATCGTTACAGTGCTATTTTATGATAAACAGAAAGCTTCACATTCTAGAACACGTTACTCTTAATTGAAGAACAGTTCGAGGTGCTTTGCAGTCAAGTAGCTCATTAGACTTACTCCGGAACAGCTTAAATAAATATTTTGCATGACACTCCAGAGTATGTTACTCTAATGATTCAGACATTGAAAAGTTGTTCCGAGTATAAAAATAATTTCAACAGGTGCATTTAAATTCGAAAGGGTGTAAATCTTAGAGCAGGTAAAGGTAAAGAGGAGTAGTAACATGGAGTTGGAAAATGAAGCCGTTTTTTTCCAGGTATATTGGCACCAAAAAAATGGCGGCATACGAAATTCTAGGGAAATTCAATGCCTTACTTTCTACTTAAATCTTGGTGCCAAATAGCTGCCAAAAACTTGGCTTCACTTTTAGGCGTTTCCGATTGGTAGATTCAGTGCGCACTGAGTGTATTTGCATCCTTTTAATCGACCTGTAGAAGAAAAAGATAGAAATAGAAAAAATTGCACTAGTTCCTCACTAGATCTACCAATCGGAAACGCCATAATGGCGTTTCCGTTTTATAGCAGAATAGCGCATTCCTACTCCATGTCCGTAAGACAGCGTCTTACCTGCTCTAAGGTGTAAATATAATTTATTTGAGATCAGTGGTAGTTCCGTATTAATTTTAAATTTTGAATCGTCACTAGGAGTAGCAAATTTTAAATCATATTGGTCACAAATCATTACAAGTGGATTCAAGTGCCAGTTCCTATAGAACAAAAATTATGAAAACGTGACACTCCAGAGTATGTTACTCTGGTAATTCGGGTACTAAAAAGCTGTTTCTATTTCTACATATCGAAAGCTTCGTTTTGGTTCGAAATTTGGGACGGTTTTGGATTAAAACAATTGGAACACTTAGAGTAACTCGAACAATAGAAGGAATTCAAATAGAATTAATGCAGATGGAATGCCTTAAGAGTATTTTAAATCGAGTTAAATGGAACAAAATTAAAGTAGTTAGGACAGTTGAACGAATCAAAAAGAGTCAGTGCACTTGGAACAGTCAGAGTAGAATTACTAAAAACCCAAAACTAAAGCTGTTTTCTCGCGGTGGAACTGGTTCGATCCGGTTCAATTAGGTTCGAAACTGTACATTCTTGCGTTGAACCAGTGACGTCACATTGAATCTGGTTCAAAAAAGTTCGAACCGGATTCATGGCTTGTTCTCCGTTGACATAAGACTTAATTTTCAAAGCAGCCACGTATAGAAGCGCCCTCTACAGCTCAACTTTGAATATTACATGCCATTTGGCGTTGTTTTTCATAGATGGCGCCACGAGCGTAAATGTCAAATTAGTAGATTTTTTTTTGACAGTTTGACGTTTGCATTATTTATTTACGGTGACAACAAAAATATTCAAAATCAAATTTAACAACAAAATAATAAGTTTAAACAAACACCAAAAATGGATTTCAATTTTAAAAATATCATCAAAGACGCTGGAACAGCAATAAGCAGGGCCGTACAGGTAAAAATTTTGATTAATTTGAAAAAATTTTCAATATAATCTTTATGTATTTATGTAGTTTACTGAAGAAAAATTGGGAAAATCCGAAAAAACCGAACTGGACGCTCACTTTGAAAACCTGTGGGAACGTGCCGAAACAACTAGAAAGTTCACCGACAAAATTGTAAAAAATGCTGAAGCTGTCCTAATTCCAAACCCCGGTAATCGAATTGAAGATTTCGTGTACGAGAAAATCGAAAAACAACGACCCTCTAGACTCAGCAATTTGGAATATTTAGGTAACAATTATTGTCAATAGTTAAAAAACATTTTTCCATTAACTTGATGATTTAGGTCTGGATATGGTGGAAGCTGGTACTTGCCTGGGTCCTGGAACAGCTTACGGAAGCTCCCTTATCAAAGTGGGCCAGTGGGAGCAGAAATTGGGTCAAATCGAGCGCGATTTTATTTGTTCGGCCGGTATGTGCTACACTCAGCCTTTGAGGAAGTTTTTGGACACCGAAATGAAGACAATATTAAAAGAGCAGAGTGTTTTGGAGATGAAAAGGTGAGTTTGTGGGGTAAATGTTGGCTTGAAAATGAATTGAATTTGTTTCAGATTGGACTTGGATGCTGCTAAAAATCGTGTGAGGAAGGCCAGGGGCTTGTTAGGAACAACAGCTGTAAGTGTTTTTAGATTTGTTTTTGAATTCGTAGGTGGATTTGAGGAAGTTAATATTTCTGTAACTTTTCCTTTTCTGATTTTTCAAAAATGCTGCATAAAAGGGAAAAGATGATGTACCGCCAGAAATACTCTTGGAGCAGGTATTTTTGTGTAGATTTGTTATGTAGCAACATTTAATTTTTATCTATAAAAAAAAATACTCATTTCACAACAGTCACAACTCACACACACAATACCTGCATGATTTTTAAGTTATTAAAATAATAATTACATTTAATTTTTTTCTGAAAACCTAGTAGAAGAAAACTTTTGAAGCTTTTAGGATTAAAAGGAGATAAATAGGAGCTCATTATACTAAAATTTCAAAGTTTTCTAGTGAAAAACAACATTATGGGAAATAAATGAAAATCAACTTGCAAAATCTAAATTCAGCATGAATAATACAATCTCTTACATTTTAATATTTTTTTTGGAAAACTACTGAAGGGAAAATTATAAAAATTTTAGGATAAAAAAAGGAAAATTAGGAGTTTATTATACAATTTTTTTTATTTTTCTACCTAGTTAAAAACATCATGGGAATTTAATGAGAATCAACTTGCAAAATCTAAATTCAGCAAAAATGCAATATCTTACATTTCAATATTTTTCTGAAAAACTACTCAAGGGAAAATTATGAAACTTTCAGGACAAAAAGAGGAAAATTAGAAGCTCATTGTACTAAAATTTCAAAGTTTTCCAGTTGAAAACAACCCCATTGGCAAATAATGAAAATCAACTTGCAAAATTTAAATTCAGCAAAAATGCAATCTCTTATGTATTTTAATATTTTTCTAGAAAACTATTGAAGGGAAAATTATGAAACTTTTAGGATAAAAAGAGGAAAATTAGGAGCTTAATATACTTAAATTTTAAATTTTTCCAGTAGAAAGCAACATCATGGGAAATTAATGAAAAAAATCAACTTGCAAAATGTGAATTCAACAAAAATCAAGGGGTGAATCACTTTGCCTTGTGCAATCTTGAAAATCGATGTGCAATCCTGCGAAATCTGTGCGAAATCCTGCACAATCCTTGCAGTAGCATTGAGAAATCCCTTCAAATTTCAAATTGAGAAATCAAGAGTCTCTTATGGAGTTTGCATGGCAACTACTCTCAACCAATAATACAGGGTGCCAATTTGAAAACTTCCCACCACCAATCAAATCTTCATGTACCTATTTGAAAGAATGAAAAAATTATCAGTGATAATAAATATTTGCATACGCCAACAGTGTCAAAAATGTTATTTCCAACGCTATTTCTAAGATACAGGGTGGAAAATTAAAAAGGATCCACCTGGATTTTCTCGAAAATTATCAGGAAATTAAAAAAACGCCGAAACAAATACTTTTTGGCTATTTCAAAATTTTCCTAAATTGCACCCCCTTGCCGGGGTGAGTTGCACCCTCAAAAGTTGAATAGGGAAACTGGGTCGAGTGGTACCTTGTTTGAGAGGTATTTGAGATGACTTTACAGATATGTCATTTTTTTCGAAACCTGACTACTAGTTTTCAAGATATTCGCCTCGGAAGTTACCATGAGGCGAAAAGAGAACGTGTTTTTCGTGAAAAAATGAAAAGTGAGTCATATTTGAAAGGTTGTTCAAGAGGTTCAAACTAACAATGAAACAAAGGTTCAAAATAATCATTGAACACCTTTTTTTCAAATATGACTCACTTTTCATTTTTTCACGAAAAACACGTTCTCTTTTCGCCTCATGGTCAACTTCCGAGGCGAATATCTTGAAAACTAGTAGTCAGGATTTCGAAATAAATTACAGATCTGTAAATTCATCTCAAATACCTCTCAAACAAGGTACCACTCGACCCAGTTTCCCTATTCAACTTTTGAGGGTGCAATTCACCCTGGTAAGGGAGTGCAATCTAGGAAAATTTTGAAATAGCCAATAAGTGTCCCCCTTGCAAAAAAAATCGACGTGTTCCGGCGTTTTTTTAATTTCCTGATAATTTTCGAGAAAATCCAGGTGGATCCTTTTTAATTTTGCACCCTGTATAGCACTTTTGTATTTTATTTTTTGGAAAATCATAGTGTGTATTTTTAATTTGAGTTATTTTCTTTATTGAATCTACTAAATACCAATAGTAGTTCTCCTTTCCTAAAATGTATCATTAGCGTCAAATGAATATTACCAAAGTTTCCTTAGGTTAGTAGGTATTGGTCATTTCAGCGAAATCTTGCGCAATCATGCAAAATCTCGCGAAATCATACAAAATTCCGCGAAGTCATACAAAATTTCTCGAAATTGGCGAAATTCCTTGCATTATTTGCCAAATCATGTGAAATTTTACGAAATACCGTGCATTCATGTGAAATCCCCCATTTTTCGCAATCGCCTCACATTTTCACCCTAGTGGTTCATGGTTCACCCTTGGCAAAAATGCAATCTCTTAGGTACATTTTATTATTTTTCCGGAAAACTATTAAAGGGAAAATTATAAAACTTTCAGGATAGAAAGAGGGAAAATAGCTCATTATACCTGAATTTTAATTTTTTTATATCCTACTGAACTATTAAAACCATATAATACCTTGGTTACGATAATCATAAACAGGGTCTTAACTCCCAAGGGAGTTAAGGATTTCCATAACTCCCAAGGGAGTTAAGGAAGGGAGTTAAGGATATCATAACTCCCAAGGGAGTTAAGGATTTCCATAACTCCCGCTTTTACATTGAATAGGTAACACTTTGACAAAAAATAGAAATTTTGAATTATGGCTTATTCCTTTATAAAAATAGACAGAATACAGTAAGTTCAGTAGGATATAAAATTATTTATGTACCACGGGAGTTATCAGGAGTTAATACCCACGGGCAATTGGTGTCCCTCGGGCCGGAGGCCCTCGGGACACAAACGTTGCCCTGGGGTATTAACACCTGCATAATTCCCTTGATACATAAATAACTATTCTATTAAAAAGACACTATGGGAACTTAATGAAAATCAACTTGCAAAATTTAAATTAGACAAAAATGCAATCTCTTGTATTTTAATATTTTTCTGATGAATAACTGAAAAATAGTTATTTTTGTATCTAGTGCGCCAAAATTGCATTTTCAATCAAAGGTAGGTGAATTTCAATTATTTTTGGTTTCCTGACAGGTATGTGTCACCATGACACCAGTGTGCGAACTAGCTATTTCCCGCACTAGGGTGCGAAATAGATAGTTCGCGCACAGCGTCATGGGAAAATTAAAAAATCAATCCTTAGGAAAAAAAAGTGTCATGAGTGTGCGAACATCATCATTTTTTGACAGTTGTAGAAAAAAGGAATTATGAAATTTTCAGGATAAAAAGAAAAAAATTAAGAGTTCATTATACTAAAATCTCAAAGTTTTCCAGTGAAAAATAACACCATGGAAAATTAATGAGAATCAACTTGCAAAATCTAAATTCAGCAAAAATACAATCTTTACATTTTAATATTTTTCTGAAAAACTACTGAATGGAAAACTATGGAACTTCCAGGATACAAAGAGGAAAATTAGGACCTCATTATACTAAAATTTCAAATTTTTTTAGTGGAAAACAACACCATGGGAAATTAAGGAAAATCAACTTGCAAAATCTAAAATTAAGCAAAAATGCAATCTCTCACATTTCAATATTTTTCTGGAAAATTACTGAAAGGAAGATTATGAAACATTAGGAGCTCATTATGCTGAAATTTCTAATTTTTCCACCGAAAAATAACACCATGAAAAATTAATTAGAGTTCATTATACTAAAATCTCAAAGTTTTCCAGTGAAAAATAACAACATAAGAAAATTAATGAAAATTAACTTAAACCGATTTTGATGTAATTAATCAATTAAGCTTTAATTAAAGCCAATTAAATTCTCTAGAAACCTCTCAATTAATATTGGTACCAACAGTTTTGCAGCTGAGAAGCTTCAAAAATTGAATTTATCATACATTGAAAGTTTTCCAAAAATGATACTGAGACACATTTTGCCTTATAGCTCTGCTAATTTTCATCGAAGGTTAAAGTCAATTAAACCTTCAGCAAACCTGTTCATTAGTATGTATTTCGAATTGGTTTTGCACCTGAGAAGTTTTAAAATAGAAATGATCGAATATTAAAAAATTTTCAAAATCGATATTGAGACAGTTTTTGCCTCACAGCTCTGATAATTTTCATCCGATTTCAATGCAAATAAGCTCTAATTGTGAACTTTGTGAACACTAAAATTGTTATTCAAGCTCTAAGACTAAAGGTTTTTAATCAAAAACTCGAAACTTCTAAAACGACCCAAAAAAGCATCTGATTTAGAGCATTTAGGACTTTGGAGATTCTCAAAGCTAATTACTTAAATTCTTAAGTTTTTGAAAGCCCGTTGTCTTCAAATATTCTAATAGAGACTCTGGAATTATCCAAGGATTCGAAGAAGAAGACTTTTAAAGCTTCTTGAACCATATAACCAAAGTAAAAATTTTAATGCTTTTATTTTAACACCTTCACCACCAGAAGTCATACTTATCGCTGATCTGGCAAAGTGGCATAAGTGTCAAAGTTTCAAAATGTATCCAAGTTATTAGAGGATTTTTTGGAAAACACAAGTGTTTCGCCAAAGTTTCAACACACTGCTAATTACTCATACTATGAGTTGTATTGCTCTGACACGGTGAGACAATGGAGAAACTTCTTCTCTTTTATTGGGTACTATCGCTAATTGCAGACTGGTTTCGGATTTGTTATGTCTTCGTCAATGCAATATAAGCGGAAAGCAAGTATTGTGCAAATCTGACCATGTCAGAGCAATACAACTTATAGTATGAGTAATTAGCAGTGTGTTGGAGCTTTGGCGAAACACTTGTGTTTTTCAAAAAATCCTTTAATAACTTGGATTCGATACACTGTCAAGTATTTTTCGATTTTTCAAAAATTTATTTTTGAAAATCATATTTCAAAATTTCAAAATAGTGATTAAAGAAAATTCAAACAAGATTTTTCATAAGGCTTATTCTGTGCCCTATTCTTTACGAGAAAAAGTAAAACAGGAACTAGAAACTTCAGTGTCAGAGGGTATTTTATTTCCTGTTAATCATGCTGATATAGCTAGTCCTATAGTTCTGGTGCCAAAGAAGAACAATAGCATCAGAATTTGTGGCGATTTTAAGAAAACTGTTAATCAGATTTTAAAAATGCATCACTACTACCCCCTTCTAGATGACTTGTTTTTCTCAGTATCGGGTGGACGTATGTTTAGTGTATTGGATCTCTCCAATACTTAACTTTAGTTGTCAGTTAATAAGCAAAGTCAAGAATTACTTACAATTAACACTCATATTGGATTATACAAATACACTAGACTGCCCTATAGGATATCAAGTAGCCCAGCTATATTTTAATCAACTATGGAACAAATTTTGAAAGGTCTAGAGTTTAAGGGAGCTTATCTGGATAATTGTGTAATTTTGGGAAAAAATAAATCATAATGCATTAAAAATGTAGACATAGTCTTGCAACAATTTGAAAAACACAACATCTAGTTAAACCTAGACAAAAGTAAATTCTTTCAGTCAGAAATAGAGTTTTCAGGTCATACCTTGAATAAACAAGGTATAAAACCTTTAAAATCAATAATAAAAGAAATCATTAATGCCCCTGTCGCTACTAATTCAACCCAACGCAAAAGTTTTCTTGGTCTGTAACGAATTTGATACGTCATCAAAGTTTTGCATGGGCCAAGGTCTATAAGTTTGATATGGTTAGAGCACATTCAAACCCGTGATTTTTTCAAATGGCTGTCAAATTCGAAAACGGAGAACAAAAGTACTGGCACTAAATTTTTCCACTAGTGAGTCAAATTCTATTTTCAGCAATTTTGAAACTCAGACTAAGTACATTAAACAAGTTTAAAGTCATATTATAGGTTTTGAAGCTAATTTGGTAGTTGAAGAAAATTTTTATAAGGCTAGTCTGTGCCTTATTTATTACGAGAAAAAGTGAAACAGGAATTCGAAATTTTCGTGTCAGAAGGTATTTTAATTCCTGCTAGTCATGCAGATATAGCTAGTCTTATAGTTGTGGCCCTAGCAATATTGATGTATTGTCAAAAATCTTACAAATGACATGTGTTCATGTTCTTGCCTTATTGGGAACATTTTATCAACAACGAAACTTGTACTGAACATACTGACAACGTTTCTTCCGAAAATGAGGAAAATGTACCGCCAATTTTGCCTTCCAAAGGTATAAAAACTAACTTAGTGCGGTCGTACACCAATGAAACATCAAACATGCAAGATGCAACGTGCGACATGAAGTAAATACCGCAGATAGACTGTTGATATTTGCATCTATTGTACGTTTCAACAATGGATATATGCAGCACAAGTCTATCTGCGGTATTTACTTCATGTCGCATGTTGCATGTTGTACATTTGATGTTTCATTGGTGTACGACCGCACTTAGAGATTTGCAGAAGATATGCTGTGGATTAATGTGGATGGAGAACAAAGGGAAGTACCCTTTGATTCAGGAAGAAAAGGCAATAAAAGGAAGATCGCACATGGTAAGAGAATAGCGGGAGAAACTCATGTCAGTAGCACCTCTGGAAAGGCTGTATTGGCTAAGGGGATGAAACCTCGTTGTAGTAGTGAAAAATTCAACAGTAAAGTGTGCAGGATTAGTGATGTGTAAAGGCAGAAAATATTCAATGCTTTTTAAGGTACAAAGAGCTTACAGCAACAAAGGAAGTTTATTGTATGACACGTACAGATCAAAGCTATTACGCTGAAAAGAGCATCAGACAAAGAAGTTTCACGTAGGTCGCAGACATTTGAATACTACCTTTCTAAAAGTGACGGAATGTCCGTGGTTTGTAAACACATTGGGAATTTCAGAGAGGGCTTTATTTATGAGAACAGAAGAAGGGATAGTAGAGCCCGACAGACAAGGAGAATGACATGAAATGTTAAAAGAAAACGATGCAAAAATCAGAGCATTAGAACACATTCAGAAATTTCCTAGAATGGAATTAAATTTTTATAGGCAGTCTTGATTACAAGAGCACTTACATCCTGATTTGACTGTGAAGAAAATGTAGTATTGTATTGAATATTAACCAATTACATTGAAATTATCATACATATCGCCGGATTTTTAAATGTCATACAGGCAAGCTGATGGAAAAAGAAAGCTGGAACTCGGGGATGCTTATAATAACAATACTGCGGAAAATATTTTTGTTTACAGGAAAAATTAAGAAGCCAAAGAAACATCAGTTAAAACCTAGCGTTCTGGCTGCTGCTGTATTTAACCTACAACAGGTCATACAGTTTCCAAAAAGTAAAGAGAGTGCCTTATTTTTTCATCGCCGCCTCTCTTCAATCAATTTTCAATTTACAATATCGGAAATCAAGAGAGCTATTGTGCCTTTTGGGATGAAACTATTATAGTGTAAAATTGCAAGAATGGTAAGATATCCAAATGAGCTAGATAATCAGGATTAAGTAAGGTTATTTGCAAATGGCTGTGGCGGCGAAAACCGCAACACTATTGTTTTAGGTATGATGCTATACGTAACTATAAATGCAAAAAATATGGAAAAATTGTTCTATAAGTTATTTTGAAACGAATTATGGTCAGAGGGAGGGCGATTCTGTGTACAGCTCAATTTCTCATGTCATATCTTTAGCAAGAGATATTTTTATACCAGCTAACCTGCTCAACTCCCCCCTATTTTGAAACTAGCCAGAAGAGTGATGCCTTATAACAGGGTTGGAAAAAATCATGATTTTTTTGAAAAAATCAAAAAAATCAGATTTTTTTGATTTAAATCGGATTTTTAAACTACCCAAACTCACCCAATTCTTCAATAAAGTAGTCGTTACAAGTTGCGCATCTACCAGTGCCAGTAAAAGTGATGATAGTATAAATATTGAAAATGTTGAAGCTGAAAATGATCATGAAGAAACGATTTCTTCCATCACCGAAGGGGCGGACGTTGAGGTTACACATGCCGAAGCTGATCCAGAGCAAAGTGCAATTAATGAATATATTGAAAGTACGGATTCAGGTCTATGGCCTGATATATTATCTGTCAAATGATATGCTATCCAAAAAAACGCGGCCGTAAACGTGTTGAATTAAAGTTTTAATGCTCATGACTTATTAAGGCTAAAGATTCGATTCCAAAGATTCTACAGTTCCTGATTTAATTTTTTTGTTATTCTAAAGACTTTCCCGGCCATTTGCACCGCTATAGCTTAAGGAATATATAATCCAACTGGGACTTTGAATGTCACTCTTGTAGAAACAAGTCACATTCGAAGCTCCACTTAAATTAAATATCTCTTAAGTGATAGCGTTGTGAATGGCCATAAGACTTAGAAGTGTTATGACTTTAATGAAATGTTAGGATTTTGCTGATTGGGATTAAATTTTTGTAGTAATTCGAACAATGTGAATTCCAAAAAAAAAATTAATAATCTTGGCTTAAAGCCATTGAAGATTCCAAAGATTTCAAAAACTTCAAAGTATCAGACTGAAAATTTGGAAAATTCCAAAAGCTCCTGAACCTCATTTAGGACAGGGGAATATTATATTTTAATTATCATTACCACCGCTTGAAACTTTTTTTTATTTGGAACATTATTATAAACTCGTTAATAAACATTAGTTTCAATTAGAAATTTCAATTTGAAACTTCATAAATTTCATTTGAACATCATAAACACCTCATTAGAACTCATATTTTGCAAATTATAATGAAGTTTTTTTGAAGTTTTAAGTTTTTCTTATGCACCAAACGTAGTTGAATAATGAGAGTTCACTTGCTTGTTTACAATTATCAATTTTTCAGGCCGAACGCGACCTCAGAATCGCCCAATCCGAGTTCGACCGCCAAACCGAAATTACGAAATTACTGCTCGAAGGCCTCAGCTCTTCGCACGCCGCTCATCTGAGGTGCCTCTACGAATTCGTCGAAACTCAGGCCCGATTTTATTCGCAATGCACTACGATTATGACCGATTTACAACGAGAATTGTCCAGGTAAGAATTTTCACAGTGAGGCCCGGTTTATATTAATTTGCAATCTATTGATGAATTTATCTTGTGAACAGTAATATAAATCAGGCCTAAAAGTGGAGATTTTAATTTTATTTTAGTGGTCAAAAGCCTTGCAGCAGTCCAATACTGAGGCTTAACAGCGAAGAACTGGAATCGGTGGCTTCTTCCAACAATTTCGATCCTTCCTTTACTTCAATTCCGATTAAAATTTCACAAGACACAAACACTAATGAGCATTAATTTTGTAGTATTTTTAGAGTGTTTTCTTTTTTTAGATTGTCAAATTTTTCGTACATTTTTTGCAATGGCCATATTGTGTGCCGGATCTGGAACCTTTGAATCAAAACTTAAACATTTTTTTTTTTGGAGTTCAAACAACCCTATAAAAGACTAGAATATTTAGAAGCAAAATTTTTAAAATTTATACAGGGTGGTAAATGTTTTTTAAGGGAAATTTTAATAAAAATCATCACTGAGTATAATATTAATTTATAAACCATCCCTCAATTATTACATAATTTCGAAAGTTTTTGGTTGAGTTTAGAAGTGTCCTTTAGTGCTTAGTGGTGCATCCATATTATTGAAAATTTGAAAAAAGTTCCAGATACAGTTTAAATGTGTCCATTGTTCATTGCTTCACAACATAAAAAAAAAATTTGACAGATAAATGAAACGTCATTAATTTGTCGACCAATGATGTTAAATGTATTGTTTATCTGTTAAGAAGCCTCAGAAATCTATGACGGATTTGACATTTCATATTATTCAATTGAAAACGTCAATTATGACAGTGTTTTGTAGTATTATAAAGAATCGCACTGCTTGTTTTTTTTTTTTTTTTTAACTGACACGCTTTTTTCAATTACTTTTGTAGTGTAGCCAGTAGCACCACAACTCAATCCGATTTTACACTTTGTGAAGATTCTACAAAACAAGCTAAGGTTTTGTACGATTACGAAGCGAAAGATTCCACAGAATTGAGTATTAAAGCTGACGAGGTAAGTGCCAATAATGATTCAAAAATAAAGATTTTTTTTTCAATTTGGCAACAATGTTTTTTTCCCTAGATTTAGGGAATATTTTTGCTAATATAATGTCATTCTTAGATAATAACAGTTAGCGAAATTGAAGACGAGGATTACATGATGGGCCAAAAAGATGGTTCAGTTGGTAAAATACCCAAAGCGTTTTTAGAGCTAATTAATACTTAAATTATAATGCAAATTTGAAAAAGTAGATATTTTGTTTTTTAATTATTTATCTGTGATTTTTTGATTATTACTTAGAATTAATTATTACTCTCGCTTTTAGAATAGTTATTGACACATTCCACACATAATCCTATTTATTCCAAGTTAAATTTTAATCGTATTTGATAAGTGCAATTAATTACTCTTTACAGGGTGTCAAAAATACAATTAGCCACCATTGGTACTTATATCGTTGTTGCCACATTTCTATTAGTTTTTGACATACAAGGTAATTTGTAAAAAAAGCCAGTTCTAGGTGTTTTAAACAAATCGCCCTGTATCTTGGAAACTAATAGAAATGTGGCAACAACGAAAATTTATTTATGACAACTTACTAATGATGGCCAATGGTATATTAGACACCCTGTATAAATTAGAGATTTATTGCAAATATGTAATTTATTTTTTTGTGTGTGAAATTGTTCAAAAAGAAGAAAAAAAAATTGAAATTTTTCTTAATAATAATAAACTATTGTTAATTATTCCTTCTTGTCTTGTCAATTCCTAGTTAATAAAATTGCTTGTTGTTGAAAGATACTGTTGTAAATTGTTGTTAATAAATTATTGTAAATATTCCAATATCAAAGTGTTTTAATTGAGGTAAAGATGTAGAAGAGGTCTTACTGATAGGATATATTGATTATTGTGTATATTGATAATATGTATTGTTAAGAATAAGATCTCTTGAACGCAAATGTCAATGTATTGTGTATTGAATAATCAGTAATTTGCGACCAGCAACAAATATGCAAAGTAATATTTCCATCACGCTTTATGCTATTGCAAGTTTGTATTTCTATATCGTTTCCACTTTGGACCAAAAAGTTCAATTCTCAGTTGTCAAGCTATAGTTACATTTAATTTTTTTTATTTCAGGCTCTTGAATTGTCACAGACAACATTTGACACTAACTTTGAATTTAATCCATGATTAAAAATTCCAATTGTTCAAAAGTTAGTATCAAATGATAGTTTATGAAAATCTAAGATTGGAATGTGAAATTGGTTTTCCTCTAAAATTAATCGTTTAGATTTTACAGCCTGTCAAAGTTGGAAAAAGTCAATTTTCAAATGTCAATATATCCAAAACAGTTGAACTTAGGCAGTGGCGGCTCATGACTGTTTCAAGTGAGGAGGCTAAAAGATTTTGAAGATTTTCAATGATTTTGAGTAGATCTTACGAGTTTTCCTGGGATTTTGATCAACTTGTATACAAATTTTCTAACTTAGGTATAGAGTATATCACATGAAATTTGCTTAAAATTTTACGTAGAATCCAAGTATGCAATTACATACAGGGTGTTCCATTTAAAATAGGCCATTGGTTTAGAGTAGAAGCGGCAACATTGCATGATCAAAAATATTTTTGAAGTGTAGATCATGGTCGTTTATCCAGGTTGCCAAATTTTCAAAAGGATCCGCTCTTTAGTTCTCCATAAATGTCTAATACGCCATCCATCGTGGAAAACTCTGTATAATACTACATTTTTTTTTGCAAACAGTGGATTTATTTATGTTTAAATAGAAGTTAATAAATTCTTGTATAACTGAGTTTATCAAAAATATCAATTACTGTTTGTCTTTTGAGTTTTGACCTTGATTGCGTTAGATAAATATGAATTTATTCCAAGAATACTGATAAAATTAACTGGTAAAACGCTGCCACTGAACATCTTTCCACTATTTCCCAAAGAGCGTGGCTTCCGGACCATCGAATATCTCTTTCTGTTTTATTCTATTTGTTTGTTATCCACTTTACTCGAAGAATAAGAGAGTGTTTAAATTTAGCTTTAAAATTATCTACGCCAATGCGCTTCAAGCTCCGCCCATGACATTTTCATATTCAACCTTCCACAATGTAGATTTTTGATATGGGTCGAGCCTCAAATATTCGATTGTCTCTTTAATACATCTGTAACTGTCAAAATATTATTTTTTGACAGTTTTATTATTGACTTTTTGAACATCAAACTGTCAAATTTAACTTTGACATTCCTTAGAAGTTGCCTATTTTAATAGTAGCTATATTATGAAAATACAGAAGCTTCAAACTTTTTTGATGACCTTGATAGACCTGTAAATGTCAAAATTTTATTATTTGACAGTTATCTAGAGCCACCTATTATTGTCAAAATAATAATTTCTGACAATTTTGATTTTCATTATTGACCCATTGGACATAAAACTGTCAAATCCAATTTTGACATTTATTGCCTATTTTAGTACCTAGCTGATTTCTTATGGAAGTATTTAGTAAAATTTCATACTTTTTGAAAGAGATGGAAATAAACTCTACCAATCGGAAACGTCATTAGTTACTATTTGACAGGTGTCAATTTAATTATTGACTTATTGGACATGAAACTGTCAGATTTAAATTTGAAAATTATCAATTCAAACTTTCTCAGTGGTTACTTTTGAGACACCTGGAGCTGTCAAAATATTCATTTTTGACAGTTTCTAATTGACTTATACTTAACACACATGAGTTATAATTGGAATTATGAAATAATTGCTCACTTTAAGCATTTTCAGTGGATGTTATAGTTTTACCCAAAACAAAAATTTTTTGAATTTAACTTTAAAATTATCTACGCCAATGCGTTTCAAGCCCCGCCCGCATGATGCATTTACCCATTCACAATGTGGGTGGAGTCTAAAAGACATAGGCATAGATTTTTTTCATTTTTACTGTTTATGATAGGGAGGACTCTCAATAACTTCGATAATTTTTAATGCACATAAAATTTACAACTGTTAAATTGTGAAAATATTAGATTAATTTTTGACAGATGTCAACGTTATTATTGACTCATCAATCATCAAATTGTCAAATTCAACTTTGAAAATTCGTCCTTTTTGATAATTGTTTTGTTATAAAAATGATAAAGCTTCAAATTTATTTAATGTTTTTTTTTTAATGCATCTATAACTCAAAATATTACTTCTTGACAATTTTTATTATTGACATAACTTCTACTTTCGACCAATGGGCAACATTCACGTGCCGGGGATATGGCAAATTATGAGAATGAACAATATTTTGCAAGATTTTAGTCAGTTTATTAAATAAATTAATAAATAAAAACTGGAATTTTAAATGAAAAATCACGTGATTGAAAACGCTCTCTGATTGGCCAAAGCCGATTTTGACATTTTTGTTGCCACATGTAGAAATGCGAAATTTAAGTGAGTTAATAAGGATTATACCTATCCTTTATTTTTTTATAATGTAGTAAAGGACGAAAACAGTTTCTAGCTAGTGAATGATTCACTAATGAGAAATTTGGCATCCTCGCATTTTTGTAGATTTTCTGGAGTGTGACGTCACAAACCAAGTTCGCGTTTTCCTGCCAGTTTAAAAATTCGAATTTTAAATATTTTTTTTTTCCAAAAATAAGCGTTTTTTTTTCAGAAAAAAAGTATTAGAATAACTGAAAGAATAATTTAAAAATGTTTTTGAAAAATGTGAAAGTGGCCCATTGCTAATAAATAAGGGGTGGAGTAGTACCTTTTTTGGGTAATCATCGTCAAGGAGAGAAATGTAAGAAAAATTGAGAAAAAAATGGCAAATAAGAGGACGTTCATGTTTTTTCTATTTCAGGCTTTAACATTTTCACAAATTCAAGAGCTCGTTATAAACTAAAGTTGAGCTGGAAAAAATGTAGAAAAATTTATTTTAATTTACATTTCTTCAAAATTGCACGCCGCTACCAGTAAAAACGACATGCGACAGTGTTTCCATTTTATAGATCTATCTCTGTCTCCTTTATGTAATATGATTACTTGTAAAGATTGAGCGATTTTTAAGTAAAACCTGGCAACAGTGTGTAAATTTAATCTACAAACCGATTGGCAATACTAATTTGAGTTTAAATTTGCCGTCATTCTAGATTTGTTTTCCAAAACGAGTTTTTCCGAAGGGATTTTGTTTGTAAAATTTTTCGTACGCCAATGGTTGGCGAGGCTCCGCCCATATAAACGTCTCTCACAGGGTATGTTCGTGTATTGATCAGGATGTTAGCAAAGAGTTTAGAGCCAACGACCTAGGTTTTAGATCAATGATTTTTGCTGACAATCCTGAATCGATTTGGATCGATGAGGCGTCATCTTCGAGTTAGTTGTAAATCTAAATTCGGGCGCTAAAGTTGTGCTACGCTATGGACTGCAGAAAGATGGGTCTCCAGTAAGTACCGTTATTTAACATTTATAAATTATGTCTAGTGTTCTCATCTATTAATCAACCTTTTAGTTGAAATCAATAAACTCAATTATTCCTAATGTTTTGATTCATTGAAACTGCAAAAGATCTCAAACTCGCAGTTCCAACAAAATAGGTTGTGACATTTGGTGGAGGCGTCGGACATAAAAATCTAATACATTTTTCCTATTTACTCTGAAGCGGTTTTTGAGATACCTTTACTATAAAACTAATAACATTTACCCATACCTGGTTTCTTACAGGAGTATGCTGACTACCTACTTATAATATTCAGTCTCTAGAAGTAAAGCGAAAAATTGCTTCTGTACTGTTTATACATTACATAATAAACAACATAAAATTTAAGTCAAGCCTTTTTATCAATGATATAAGCTTCCATGTTCCTAAAATAAATTTTAATAAAAAAAAACGCTAATATGTTTTACTGGGATACTTTCAACTGGTCAGTACTGACGTCAATGCAGTATCATTGTAATGTATTAATTGATGAGTTTGATATTGACATGCACAATGTGGATGTCCAAAAGCTAAAATCTTGTTTTAATTTATATTGATGATTTGTAGTAGTGTATTTTTCGTAGTTTTAGTTTTAGTTTTAGGTAGATTCTAGGGATTCTGTTAGTTATAGTAACCCTTACTTGTCATTATCAACTTGCTTGATGTTTGTAAGATGTACCATAAATAAATAAATAAGTAAATCGTAGAATCAGGTAGAGGATGAATAATATGAAGCAGGTGCAAATGAGGCCAGTAAGTGCGTCATGTGTCGGATTTGAGTCATGCCTTAACCATGTACTTGTGCGGAAAGTGGATTCCAACATAAAAATAATGTGTCTGAATGAAAGCCGTAAGTTTAGTAACTAAAATGTATTGGAATTGTTCACATCATAATTTTTGTTGTTGTTTTTTCTGAAGTCAGATTAATACTACAGAAATAGATAGTTAAAATCCTCCATCTGTTCTTCTTTCCAATAGAATTTCTTTTCTTTTGTGGTTATTACGTGAAGAGATCGAGCTAATTTTGAAAAATGTTCTGTAAATTTCCTATAGCAATTACACAGGCCAATGAAACTTTGCACGTCTTTGACTGATTTGGGTACTGGGAAATTTTTATATCGACATAAGCTTATTATCATCAGGCAAAATAAAGATACCATGTTTGGAAATTTTGTACCCAAGCAAGTTTATTGCTTTTTCTATTGTCCGTCGATTTTTATCTGACACTTTCCGTATGAGAAGCGAGGGGGTGAAGTAAATGGCAAAAACAGGTGTGACGTCAGGTGACCATTGGCAGTGGCGGCTCGTCAGAGGAGGCAAGGGAGGCTAAACCTCTAATTTAATCACGGGACTCAGTCTAAAATTCTATCAGTCAGCGGATAATTTAGAGCCAATTAAAAACGGTGAGTATTTAAAATGCGATTTTTAGCGTCCGATCAAAGAGTCGGGAATATTCAAAAACTTTAGTTTTATCAAATTGACTTTGGAATGTTGGTTTTCTTAGGATTTTTACTTTTTTCAGAAAACGGTGGTTTTTGCAAACATATACTACTTTATCGTTGTCTTTGTCTTACACACTATAATCAATAAGAAAACCTTTAAATGTCATTTTCATTGAAATTAAACTAAAAACAAGTTTCCTATAATTTATTTCGGGAATTTTAATTATTATAATCATTATTAATTAATTATTAAATTGAATTTTAAACAAAAAACCCTTTTAAAATGTTATTTTTGTTTTCCGAAATGAGATGTGGCAACGTTGCTTTTAGTTGGCCATTTTGAAGTGACGCCTTGTGATTTTTTGCCAGTTTTTCCTCGAGTTTTTCACTTTTCCGGGACTTTTCAATGGAAAAAGGCAATTTAACATACGAGGCTTTGAGTTTTCTTCATTTTCTAGCAAAAATTTCCAGTTTTAAAATGACATAAATAACAAAATCCCATTTAAAATGCTTTTTTTGGAAGTTTTCATGTGGCAACACCGCTTGTGCCAACTTCAAGTAGGTTTTGTAATAAATGTCATTTGCCAGTTTTGACAGTCGGCTATTTTAATTGAAGTGTTTACATTTCTATCCAGTTTTTCCTCGAATTTTCTGTTTTTCCAGGCCGTTTTCAGTCAAGAAAACCGATTTGAAATACGAGGCTTTCAATTTCCTACATTTTGTACTAAAAATTCCCAGTTTTTCAATGGGGTAAGTGGCAAAAACTCAAATTTCATTAAGTAGGCTTTGGAATGTAATTTTTAGAGGTTTTTCTATGGATTTTCCGCTTCTCTGATCGGAAAAACCGTTTTAAAGTACGAGGCTTTGAGTTTCCTTAATTTTTTAGTTAAAATTTCTAGTTTTAAATGTCATAATTAGCAAAATCCCATTTAAAATGCTTTTGATGTGGCAACATCGCTTGTGGCTAATTTCAATCAAGGAAGCATTTTTGACAGTCGGCCATTTTCAATTGACGTGTTTACATATTTATTCAGTTTTTCTTCGAATTTCCACTTTTCCGGGGCTTTTTCAGTCGGGAAAACTGACTTAAAGTACGAAGTGAATTTTCTTCATTTTCCACCAAAAATTTCCAGTATTTTAACGGGGTAAGTGAGAAAAACTTTAGTTTTATCAAGTAGATTTTGGAATGTCATTTTCGTTGTTTTTTTTTTGGAATTTTTATTTAAGGTATTTGGGGTCCAGAGATCGTTTTCTACCACTTTTTTTCTCGAAATTTGCAAAATTAAAAAAAAAAACTTTTTTGACGTTGACAGCTGTCAATTTTTTTTTAACACAAATCGATAGTTGGCGTCGTGAAACTGCCTTGTACCGGGGTTTGATTTTTGTAGCCTTTATAGTAGAGCGGGGAAAAAGTCGAACATGTGTCAAATTTGACAGGTGACAATATTGCCAAAGTGTCGTGCGACAAAAGTTTTATCCGAATGAACCCGTTCATTGTTAATTGATTTTAATACTCCGGCCTGTCGGGCCGTAATCTTTGAAACAAAAAGACGTCATTTTGTATCGATTGTCAAAAGAACCCAAGGTTTGAAATTACAATTTTTTGACGTTTGTTGTATCATGAGCAGTGTTGCCATATGTTTTTTTTTTTCAAATCTCGAGCTCGGCGGGCCGAGTTATAGGTTATTTTAAAGCCAATCAAGAGCCGGGAATATTCAAAATTTATAGCCAATCAAGAGCCGGGAATAATCAAAATTCGAATTCCCAAACCAATCAGGAGCCGGGAAAATTCAAAAATTCGAATTCCAAACCCGACGGGAAATTGAATTTTTTGTACCAACTGTTGCTACATAAATCTCACCCTAAAACCCACTAAAAAACGACATGTTTTCTAACATTTGTTTTTTGGAAAAAACAAAAGATTTTTTTTTTTTGAGATTGACAGCTGTCTAAATTTTAATGGGCGTATAGATTTAGCCTTGGCGAATACGTAGGAAGTACCCCGAAGGGCCGAAGTTAAATGCCAGCCCGAAGGGCTGGAGTTATATGAAAACCCGAAGAGCTAGAGTTATATGCGATTTTAATACTCTAGCCCTTCGGGCTCGTAACCTTCAAGACGCCATTTTGTATCAATTGTCAAAAAAAACAAGGCCTACTTTGAAATTTCAATTTTTTGACGTTTGTTGTATCATGAACAGTGTTGCCATATGTTTTTTTTTCAAATCTAGAAATAGAATATTATGAAAAATTCCCTTCCCCCGAAGCAAAAAGTTTCTCATGGGGGGACAAAACAAGCTCTTGCACGAGGGCGGCCAAAGAGCTAGAACCGGCCCTGACATCGGAGAGAACTGAAACTCGGAATATCAACTAAAAATCACATTTTGGATATTCCCGATTTTTGATTGCTTCCAAATTATCCACCCAAATTATCCACTGACCAATAGAATTATAGACTGGGCCCCGTAATTAAAATAACTTTAACCCTTCGGGCTCGCGTATAACTCCGGCCCTTCGGGCTCGCGTATAACTCCGGCCCTTCGGGCTCGCGTATAACTCTGGCCCTTCGGGCTCGTATTACTCCGGCTCTTCGAGCTCGCATATAACTCCGGCCCTTCGGGCCGGTATTCCTGAGTATCCCAGATTCACAGATTTTTGTCGTGGGAGGCGCGGGATTGATTGAAATAATGTTGTCAGATTTTTCTAAATTACATTGAAATTGAATCAGGAATAAAAAATTGAGATTGAATTTTCAATTTTTTGGGGGAGGCTTGGCCTCCCCTGCCTCCTCTGACGAGTCGCCACTGTGAAAATTTGTATACAAGTTGATCAAAATCCCAGAAAAAGTCGTAAGATCTACTCAAAATCACTGAAAATCTTCAAGATCTTTTAGCCTCCTCACTTGAAACAGTCAACAGTCTTGGAAAACTGTGTCTGCTAATTTCTGGAAAGTTGCTGGTGCATTGCATAATCCAAAACTCATAAAATTGAACTCCCATATGAAAAAAGATCATGTCCTGGGGCTTGAAATGCCGTTAGTGACTTGGGTTTTTCTTGAATTTTGACTTGCCAGAAACCGGAAAATATGTCTAACAACGAAAAATAATGCATCTTTCCTAAATATGTGAAAATATCGTCTATGTTGGGGATACTATAGTGCTGGACTTCTTTGTGACAGAATTCAGACGCCTATAATTAACACCAAACCTAATTTCGTCCAATTTTTTTTACTTGTACTACAGGGCTGGCCCAAGGAGAATGGCTTGGTCTAATTACATTGTAGTAGTTATTTTCGATATTTATGTGTCAAAAATTTCCCTTTCTTTTTGGGATACTCTATATGCTTTTTGATTTTTGTTTTATAGGCTGAATGTCTCCAATATCTATGTTATGTTCTACGAGATCTTTCTTGCAGTTTTGCCCATATTTTTGAAGTTTTTGAAAGTATATCATTAAATTCGTCTTATAACTTTTATTCTTGCAGTCTTATTTTTTAAATGGCTTATTTTGTGATCTTCCATCGTATCTTCGTCCTCTTTTCCACTTTCTTCCAATAAAAATAATCCCCCTGCAAATTCGTCAGGGTTACATCCTATATACCTTGCCTCTTACTGTATACAACAACTGAGTAAAAACTAAATAGCAAATTCTATTGGAAGGGTTAGTATGTACTGAGTGTACGTGTCTTTTTCTACCAGCTGGTATAAAAAAGAGATAAAAATAAATGTTTTATGCACTGGTTCTACCAATAAAATTTGCTATAAGAGCAGTACTTCACTGGACCTGGACATGCTAAAATCATGAAAAGTATCGATATTTTCTTATAATATATTAACGCTACGAAAAAAAAGTAGACAGGTTTTCAACGAACATCGTATCGATATTCGATACCTATGAATATCGATTAAACACTATACATCTATAAATTCATAACCATCTTTTGACACATTTAAAATGTCAAAATGGCATGAGTGAAGAAAACAACCAAAAACCAACTAGAAAATTAATAAGAGTACGAAAATTCCGCACAAACCCAACCGAAAACAATCTAGAAGAACAAGAGGTATCTGCACCAACACTCAGCCAAAACTCAGATTGTAAGAATTTCCCCATTTCAAAAACATTTAAAATAAGATTTTCTTTAGCAATTTTTTCCGGTGACGAAGAAGAAATCCAAGTAATCGACCCCGAAAGCCAATCAAACAGCTCTAGGCGGCACCCTATTGAGTTTATGTTTCCCCATTTAAAACAAGAAGGTCTCGATACCAATAATTTAACTAAAACTATGAGCACAACAGATTTAACTAAATTACTAGTTGGTAAAACGGCCCAGATTCCTGATGAAATGAGAAATCGTTATGGAAGACGTAGAGCGGTAAGTAGCACATTCTATATGTATATTAATGAGCTAAAAGTTGTTGATTTAGGTAGATTGATTTCTCCACAATAGTAGAGGAAGACGAAAATTCCTCGAGTAGTGAAGACCTAAAGAAACTTCGAAGAAAACTAAGGAAACTCTTTAAATCACCGGCCGAAATGACAGATGACGGCAACGAAAGTGACATTAGTGAGAGCGAAGAAGACACAGAGGACAAATAAAACCACTACTTAAAAATACGAAAAATCTTACAAGAGTTTTATTTTTTAACACTTACAAAAAATTGTTTATCCTAAAATTTATTTATTGCAGCTGCCACAGTTATCGGCCTGTCAAAAGTCAGTCAATAATTAATTATGAATTAAATGAAAAACAGGCTAATCTAACAATTAATCTACAGTTTTGTCATCTGTGGTAGCTCTCTCTCTTTACTAAAGTCAAAAGATTTTTTTTTTTGTGCGTTTTTCTTAATATTAATAAATTAAATTGTTTCGAAACTACCCTATAAACGTGGAAAGTGAAACAGCCAAGTTTTAATTTTGGCCATTTATGAATGGTTTAGCACGTTTATAGGGCTGATTGAAATCGATTTTATCTTGGAAATAAATATTATCTGAGTGGGGAGTTAATAAATAAATTGTATTTAAAAAGGTTTCAGAAACAACAAGCTTATATGGATTTTTTAATTTGAAACTTTTAGGGATTTGAGTGTATTTTATTTAAATTTGAATAAATAATTTTTGCAGTGTAAAGTGAACAGCAATTCATTTTTATCTTTTTTCTTTGTCGTTCCAAATGCATTAGACAAAGATGAAAATATTTCAAAAATAATTGTTTGATGATCGAAGTAGGCTTTGGAAAATTGGTGGTACTTGTTTTCTTTATCATTTTAAATTAATTTAACAAAGATTATAGATTTGTTTTTAAATAATAAATTAAAATTTATGTTGTTTTTTGTCTTTATCGTTCCAAATAATGTGCTAGACAGAGACGAATATTGAATAGCGTATTTGTTTATTTTTTCAAAAACATCAAAACTTGATGCCATTTTTTTCTCTTTATTGTTTCAAACGCATTAGACAAGGATAAATATATTTCAAAAAACTTTTTTTTCTTTAAAGCTCATAATGCTATTAATTCCATTGAAATTAAGTAAAAACTCGAATTAAAAAAAAAGGATTGTGAAAAAAAAAAATTGAAAAATGAGTTTGCCTATTTTATTTTTATCTTTTATCTTTGTCATTTCAAATGTATTAGACAAAGATGAAAATATTTCAAAACTTATTTTTTGATGATCAAAGTAGGCTTTGGCTGTTAACTTCACACCAATAATAATTTTTCTAGCAAAATCAGATACAATTTTAAATTAAATTAAACAATCCATATAAATCAATTAAAAATAAAGATAAACTCTAAAGCAAAAATAAATAAATTGCTTATAATTGTAACAAGTGCGAGGAATAAAGAATTAAAAAGTGAACTAAGTTCAAAAATAATTATTTTTTCAAAATAAATAATTACAGTTTTCATAAGTTCTGTTCCAACCGACGATAATTTCCAGTTGATAAATTCATTTGTCAAGTAGATATAAACGTTTAACTTATTGAAAAAATAGGTGGGCAACTGGAAATTACTGGTTTTGGAACGGTTCTCATGTCAGTTGGAATAAAGCTATAGCCTCGATTAATTGGGAAAAATTATTTACATTTTTTAGATAATATCATATTAATAATGGGAAAAAAAATGTTCTAAATGCAATTTTTCTTTGTTTAAATAAACCAATAATAATGAATATACTAAAAAAACAAAACAAGTGTCTAAAATATAAAAATTGTTTTCAATGCTATTTAGCCACTAGCTGACGTCACACAAATAACCTCACTTTTGTTGGGGAGACAAACAAAGGGTTTCAAGGACTATTCATACACACAGGTGCTAACTTGTCAGCAATGACGTAACGTCACTTTGGATAAGGGGACAAACATTTCATGTGTATGACGTCAGCTAGTATCTACACTTTATTTCATGAAGGTTCATACTTTTGACATCAAAGACGTCATAACTTGTCGTAGATTAATTTGTATGACACATTCAATTTTTTTAACAAATTAAAATTAATGAATTCTGGTTTAAGAACCGACGAACATTTTTGACGTCGTTGATTTGTTTCAGTCAATTTCTATTTGTTAAAAAAGGAAGGCAAATTATGTCAAAAGTATGAACTCCTTGGATTGGCATAATTTTAAATTTTAATAATTTTCCACACAAACACAATAATTCCAATTTCACTCATCAGTCTCTCAATCATAGCACAAAAATTAATCATTTATTGAATAATATCAAAAACAATTACCTTCAATACTTTCGTCTCCAAGGCAATAATATCCGGAGACACCTGACGACGCCTCTTGGTAAAGCGAAATTGAAACTAGAGTCCAGCAAATGTCATTGGGACTTGAGACTGACCAGTTTCCGGCTCCTCGCTCGAGCCTCTTGTCTGGTGTTGGTGTATTCGAACCATAAGACGTTCGGTATCAGAGTGGTGTCTCTAATCATCAGAATTTCTGATATTCTCCTGAAAATAATAATGAACTTGGTTTAAGAAGTGCTCAGAATATTTTCATAGCCATCATTGAATACATATTTAGGAATTATAATATCAAGGCTTGTAAGTTTCTCAGAAAATTTAATTCTCAAGTTTTTGACAAAATTTTGAGAAAATATTAACTTTGAAGCTCAATAATTCGTTTAATATACAGGGTGGTCCTTCGGGAATGACATCGATTGCTTATGGGAAAACTGTGAAAGGTAAAAATTTGAAAATTTGGCAACATAGCAATGTCGATGGGGGACATCTAGGTAAAATATTTTCAAGATGGCGGCATTTCCGGTCATACCGGAAGTTGATACCAACTCGGTTATTTTAAATAGAACACCCCATATATTAATGTATTTTTGGATTCTACATAAAATTCTGAGCAGATTTCATGTAATATACCCTATACCTAAGTTCAACTGTTTTGGAAATATTGACAGTTGAAAATTGACTTTTTGCAACTTTGACAAGCTGTAAAACCTAATTGGTTAATTTTAGAGGAAAACCGATTTCACATTCCTATCTTAGATTTTTATAAACTATCATTTGACATCAACTTTGAATTAAATCCATGATTAAAAATTTCAGTTAAATTTAATCTCCGTTTAAGTTCAAAGTTGGTGTCAAATGATAGTTTATCAAAATCTAAGATAGGAATGTGAAATCGGTTTTCCTCTAAAATTAACCAATTAGGTTTTACAGCTTGTCAAAGTTGCAAAAAGTCAATTTTCAACTGTCAATATTTCCAAAACAGTTGAACTTAGGTATAGGGTATATTACATGAAATCTGCTCAGAATTTTATGTAGAATCCAAAAATACATTAATATATGGGGTGTTCTATTTAAAATAACCGAGTTGGTATCAACTTCCGGTATGACCGGAAATGCCGCCATCTTGAAAATATTTTACCTAGATGTCCCCCATCGACATTGCTATGTTGCCAAATTTTCAAATTTTTACCTTTCACAGTTTTCCCATAAGCAATCGATGTCATTCCCGGAGGACCACCCGGTATAAGCCATTGGTAACAAATTTTACTCAATTTATAGAAAATTTACTATTCCTTCAAAAAATATAACATAACTTGAATCAAAGCCGCATTCTTTCGGACCGGATCAGTTGATCAAAACGCGTTATGTTCCAGTGATCACGTTCTTTCGCATTTTGGCAAATGACAGTTAACGAATCATGATCCGAGAAAGTCTGAACATATTGAACATTTTTTGTTTGTGATTAGTTTGTTCCGATCGCGAAAATCTAACCTCAACTTTCAAATTATTTCTTGTTTACTTTTTGCGCTTTCTGCAATAATATATAATATAAATTTTGTAAGCTCGTCCATTATTATAAGCACAGAAAAACAAACGTAGCAAATCAAAAAACTGCAAAATATAATAATAACCAACTCAAAAAATAGAGAATAGAGGAAAAGCACCAGCTGGCAGTGACACATCAGTGACAGTGTTTTTTCGGACTAATAAATGAAACATGTTCCATCTGAACGAACGGATCAGGATCTCGGAATCATGATTCAAATATTTTGCGAAAGAATGCGGCTCAAATTACTAATTGCTATAAGCAATTATTCAACCAAAAACTGTAATTTGGAAATGATGTTAGAAACTAGAAGATAAAAAGAGAAAAATTAGGTGCTCATCATACTAAAATTTCAAAGTTTTCCAGTGAAAAACAATAAACAACATTATGGGAAATCAATGAAAATCAACTTGCAAAATCTAGATTAAGTGGAAATGCAATCTATTTTCATCTATTAAGATAAAAAGAAGAAAAATATGAGCTCATTATACTGAAATTTTGCATTTTTCCAGTGAAAAACAGCACTATTAGCTATCGTACTTTGTGGCACTTTTGATGAAGGAAGCAAGAGAATATTTTTAAATTATTACTATATCAGTAAGTAATCGGGTGGCATATGTTAACATTTCGGAAAATTGTGCAGAGGTTTGTGGAGGGGGGAATTCTGAATCTGTTGTTTTATGTAAAATTAAATTAACTATATACATAGATGCGCATTTTCTCCAACTTCTGATTCTGAAATAATCAATTTTTGGCTTAATGACCTAATTAATTAACAGTTTTTTATTTTTGACATAACTTTAATTTAAATTATTATAATTTGTAAACAATTAAAATAATTCTAGTGGATTTTTATCTATTCTCTTTTATTCCACGTGGGTTTTCATTGTGATTTCATTGTGAAGTGAATATGATCTTTTGGGTGTACTCGTCTGATTGGTTGAACTAGTTAAAATGCAGTTAAGTATAAAAAAAAACAGAATCGTTTTCCTGTGGGGTTTGGTTTCAAAAACGCTCTCTTTCCTCGACAAAAGTCTGGCAGACAAGTCCTTTTTATTTTTAGTAATTTTTGCTCTTAATTTTTAGATTCTCCCTTATAGATTTTTCAATATATTTTGCTATCAATTCATATTATCATATCATTGTTAAGTTTTTACCTGATAAATCTTATCTTATCTATTCTTGAAATATAAATATTATATTTTAATTTTTTCATCTAATTGTTGGCTTCCATTTAGTGTGAGTGCTGATTGGTAGTGCCACGTTTATCTGAGATAAGTCAAATCAGATTTTTGGACTTTAAATAGGTACTGCTGCTCTGGTTTTCAGAATCAATTGTTAGTGTGGAAATATTGGACCATTTGCTCTAAATAGAGTCGGTAAAAACCGAATTTTTGTGTCCATCCCTATCAACTCTTTATTGAATCCAGGCAAAGGCCTGAATACCCATTTTCTGTTTGACTGCGTCAATTATTATCTCGACTAAACGGTGTAATTTTTTTTTTAATAGAAATCCAGACAGGTCAAAAATTCAGTTAAAAAGTTTTAATTAAAACATCTTAATAATTTTGACTTATTCTGGATTTGATTGATTTCACCGTCAGGTTAATCTTGTAGTATCTATCCTAGCTACCGTAATTTGAAAGGAAAATTTTGTCTATTTGGGGGAGAATCCAAAGATTTAATTTCTTACTGTTTCAGCTTATTTTGTTCATATTTTTGCCTGCCAGAGCTACCGTCAGGAAAGCAGCATTTTGTTCAATCATGACAAGCATTTTAATTTAATCTTGTTTGTTATTATTTTAATTTTATTATTATCTTACCATTATTCTCAATTATTTAATTGTATTTTTTTTATATTAAAATATACAGGGTGAGTTACTAAGCGCGTGATCGTCCATATCCCCTATACTAACGGAGCTCGAAGAAAAAAAACTAAATACAAAACTTGTAGATAAACATGAGTACTACATTCCTAAATTATTTTCCAGTATACAGTGTGGCCCAATAACTAGTAGTGACACAAAGTTACGTTTTTTAAAATGATTTTCCCTGTATATTATGACATTTCTAGATTCTGCGGAAAATTCTAGACATATTTCATGTACAATGTCATATACCTATCTTCAACTGTTTCGGAAATATTGAAAGTTGAAAATTGACTGTTTTGCATCTTTGACAAAGTGTGAAACCTAAACGGTTAATTTTAGAGGAAAACGGATTTTACATTCCTATCTTAGATTTCCATAAGCTATCATTTGACACCAACTTTGAATTTAACCGAACAATTTAGGCGGAATTTTTAATCATGAATTAAATTCAAGGTTGGTGTCAAATGATAGTTTATGAAAAACTAAGATAGGAATGTAAAATCCGTTTTCTTGTAAAAGTAACCGTTCAGGTGTTGCAGTCTGTCAAAGATGCAAAAAAGTCAATTTTCAACTGTCAATATTTCCGAAACAGTTGAAGATAGGTATATGACATTGTGCACAAAATATTCTAGAATTTTCCGCAGAATCCAGAAATGTCATAATATACAGGGGGAGTCATTTAAAAAAAACATAACTTTATATCACTACTAGTTATTGGGCCACCCTGTATGCTGGAAAATAAATTAGGAATGTAGTACCCATGTTTATCTACAAGTTTTGTATTTAGTTTTTTCTTCGATCTCCTTTAGCATAGGAGATATGGACCACCGCGCGCTTAGTTACTCACCCTGTATATATATATTTTTTCAACTTGATGCAATAGCTGTTCATACCTGATTCTGTTGGAAGGAAGTGTCTGTCCAACAATCGTTCTATATTAAATTTCAATTTTCTTTGCAAGACACTCACTTTTTGACAGAATTCAGGGATTTAATATTCCAAATATTGGTGAACCTGATGCTGCCTTATTCTTTTCTGGGTACCTTCTCGACATAAAGATCACTGTTTGGAGTCTGGATCAGCTGGAGTGACGTCACCCCAACAATCTATTCTCTTCCTGAATACAGGAAACAACACGAAGAGCTCCAGTTCGCGAAAGTGAAACCCCAACACCCATTGAAGAGCTCCAGATTGGAAAGGTACATGGTATCAGATTCACCGGAAAAACCAAGATGTGTACACCAAAATTTTACAGAAAGTAACATTTACTCTTACTCTATATTACAGAATATTGTAAACGAAATAAAATTATTGTTCATTGGATTTTGAGTGGTTTTATTTGCACATAAAGGGACTATAGCTGAGTCAATCTGGGGGGTCAGGGTGCAACAAATTAGCAACAAGCTGATTCCAGCGGGAATGTTTAGTAAGTGACCTCTTATTTAACCTCCTAAAAGTCCCATTCAGTCTTAGGGGTGGAAGGTTGCAAAAAAATGGCCGCCATCTTGGATTTTTTTGTTTTTTTCAAATATCTCAGTTTCTATTAGTTTTTTCAAGAAAACTCAAGAAACCTTTTTTGTGAAGAATTTAATTCTCTATAAAAAGTGTCTGTACTTTTTTTTTGTAACATAAAGGATAACGGAGATACAGAGCTTTTTATAGTAAATATTTCAAACATTTCTTTACTTTTATCCCTTTCGAAATGTTTAGAAAAAGTCTAAGGTTGAATAGAGAACGAAAACGATTTCCCCTGTTCCACCTCCAGTAAAAAGCGTTGGGAATGCTAGAGGTGGAACAGA